TTATATGTTAATTTGCATCGACAATAAGCGGGGCTGCAAAAAACGCGTTGATCAGGCATTTTATTTGATTTGGCGACCAGCAAGGCAGTCCCGCCAATGGATGTCAAAAGAGTTATCAAACGTATTGAAAACTGAATTTTAAGGAAAATAATTGGTAAACAAATTTCAGATGAGGGAGTTAACAATTAAATGGCATATAAATGTATGAAAGCAAGCATTACAAAGCTTATATACGTTTTAATTAAAAGGGAATATATACATAGGAAGAAAATATTTGATGTGCCATTTACTTACTACATTGAAAATACGCTAGTGGGAAAGTAATATTTCTATTTATACTGATGGTCATATAAATTGTTAATTGAAAAAGCAATTTTTATTGCAAAATAAGCTGTAATTTAAACTAAATTTCAAAACAGTTCTAAAGCAGGACTTGAATATGTTTTGATTTGGTCATCAAGTATGAAATATGTGTTGAAAACCAATGAATTGCGGTGTCAATAGGCGAGTGGGAGGTTTGTAATTATAAATATTACATCTTCATTTAGTTAACAAATAAAAAAAAGAAATTAATGTGAATTAAAATACATTCAAGGCATCCCTTCGAAAGCTGTACGCAGAAACAAACCCAATTACATTTGACGATTCAGATGACATTCTGGCAGCCACAACGAGTGCTTAAAAGTTTTTCCGCTAATTAGCCACGAATGTTCGTGAAGTAAAGGGCTTAAAAATGATTTTGCGGCAATCAAAAATGACACTTGGCAATGGCCAGAAACAGAAACGAAACTGAAATAGAAGAAGCAGCCAAATCTCACAAAATAAAATGACAAAACAAAGAGAGGGAGCGAAATTAAGGGAAATAAAATTAATGCCTGGAAATTCATAAGCCTCTGGACAGCACACGGGCGGACAGTAGGACAGTCGGACAGTCGGGCGATCGGACGGACAGACGACACTTTGGTCCTCCTCTTTTTTAGGGTTTTGCGCGCAATTTGAGGCACATTAAGAGACTTAATTACGCGCCGCTCCAAAGGCGAGCATTTAATTTTATTTGACTTGCAGCGAGAAGGAAGGAAAAATAATGAAAGGAAAACTTTTCACGCGTTAAGCTCAAATATTGCATTTTCTGTTTGTCGTCCAGCTGTGGCAGCTGCACACAATTGACATTTGTATTAAGCACTTTTTCATTTTTTTCCCCATTTATTTATTTTATATTTTTTTCATTCGCAGTCGCGTGCAGCTCTGTAAATCACAACGCACAGTGGCCGTCAAAAGCAAACGTCGAGCGGAGCAAACATCTTGATGTGACAGTAAACGACACTTGGCCTCCTCCTTGATCCGAGCACATCATATTTTTATATACGACCGCGTATAAATAAAACCTGCATGCTACAAATGGCGGACTGTGTCACTTAATTTCACGCTGCCAGTCTCCGAGTGCATCACAAGATGAAGTGCGCTTCTATGTTGAGAGCAGGGACATCCCGGGGCAGTCGGGTCATCAGTGCAGCACAAGTGACAGTGGAGGCTGAAATGGGAAGTTCCGGGATTGCTGCTTCAACCTCCGCTTGGCTACCCGCATAACAATAACACTGTTGTGGTTTGCATAATGGACAGCGGATTCTGTAAATGTGCAGAAATTCCAGTTGGCATAGACATTTTCAAGATAGGCCTACACTTCTTTACATCTAAATATAAATGCACAGTGATCCCTGCGTATGGTGTTTAATAAGGAGCGACATAGACTTGCAGTTCACAGGTAAGTAATTACTTTTTCTCGTTAAAGTATGTCTTGGCAAATTGCAAGGCTTTGGCTCCTTCAGAAGCCAACTTTGCAACTTCAGACTCGCCGTATATACATATAAGTCCGTAGACCTCCAAGCATCTTACATGGTTAATGCTAGTGATTTAGTAAGCTTGAATATTTATAGACTAAAGCAAATGAATCTGCTCTTTCGAGACGTTGGCTAAGATCAGCTTATAAAGTTCGATGGCCAGTATTTATCTAGAGAGACGCAAAAAACAACACTTTTAAGAAATCATTTCAAGCTATATTTGACCAAAAGTTGAACAATCATTAATTATCTCACATTTGATAAAGCAATAAAAAACATGCAAAATTAAATTGATATTTGTTGAATATATATCTGAGTATGACGGTTTACTGCAGCTCATTTATTAAATTTAATGTGGAATTATAATTAATTGTTGGCCAGCGGGTTCTGCTCTCTTTTTAGCTCTGTAGCTTGTTTTCAGTCTTCAATGAATTAAGTCTGTTATTTATGGCCGTATATCAGTATACTTGTAGCACGTAGACTCTGATGGGTCTCAAATATCACATTCATAATAAGCGATTGACCACCAAATTGGCGCTTGTCCGACTAGTGGATACCCTGAGCCCGATCTTTTCTCCGCTGTAAATATTTAAGTACGATAAACCTATCCTTTTTGGACTACTCTATTTTATTATAATTCTATTTTATATCACAAATGTAGTGAGACGCAATGTTGTTGTCTTCTGGCACTTATTAATATCCGCAATATCTTACTTTCGCAATCCATTATCTTATGTCGATAGAAAATCGACAAAGAAATTTTATAAGCAAAAAGTTTAAAACATCTTATGCCATCTTTGATATATGTACATAGTTCTCCAAACTAAATGTGCACCTACGGTATGCGATCTGCCAAGCCTCCTTCTTGTGTGTCGTCCTTATACTTATGATTACACTCTCCAAGTGCTTCTTGATCTTATGGTAAACATCTTTGTTGCCGTTAGCCAAATGGACCTGGAAATGCCGAGCCTTTTGACCTGCTCCTTGACCATCAGCGCGGTTTTCATCTCACACCAGTACCAGATGAAAATAATGTCGAATAATCTGCATTCCTCATTTTTCCTTTACGCAAATACGATCAGCATAGGCTTTACTGTATGAAGAGCCACATTCAAATACGCACACACCTACTCCCATGTATATTGTATTCACACACAATACATATTTGTAGATGTTGCCGACTTACCCTTTTTGTGTGTTTTATGCTTGTCATATGTACAGCAATTGACAGCAACGCTCGGCTATCTTAATTTCGTGTCACAAATAAAATTGACACTTTCTGTGTGCGTGGAGAATATTTCGGATGTGTGTGTGCGAGTGTGTGTGAATGTTGTTTTTGTTGTGTAGATGTAAAACTGCCTGTGATTTAAATTTATTGCCTCTCGATATACGAGTATGTATGTATGTATGTGCGGGTGTATCACACATATGCGACAATAGGGACAGCAACCACAAAGATAAAATTCACAATTAAAACGAATATAAAGATTTTTAAATAGATTAAAACCAACTGCCACACAACAGTCAGGCACCCAGACAAGAATATTAACCCTAGAACACCAAGCGTCCTCGGCATTGTCCGGCTTCTTAAAATGTAACATAGAAAATATAAATATACAGTGGATATACATTTTTAATGGGTATTCCTTACACAGACATGAAATAAATAACACTTAAGGACTATAAAAGTAGTTTTTAATTTTGTTTACAATTTTCTCAGCTACATATTCATGTAAAAAAATCAAACCAAATAGAGTTTGGTTTGGCTGATGAATATTATAAATTTGTCAATTCCTTCTCCTGGATATTAGATGCTAGAATCTGGAAAATTCGTTGCGAAACAATATATATTCGATGGCGAAGGTTGGCATTGTACGGTTAAGTTATGGCTGCGTGTGCTGCTGATTATCAAATTCCTTTTGTCAATGGCCTACAATGGAACTGTGAACAAAGGTCGCCTCACAAACATAATTCGCTCGATTCAAGGCAACTATGCACATTGGCGTCATCACTTGCCAGCATCTAACGTACACACACACACGCACAGACACCTGCAGCTGAACGACCTTGAAGAAGCGCAAGTTTCACCTCAGCGCCCTCGAGCGTTTGGAGTGAAAACGCGAACAGCATCCTATAGCAGGAAAGTCAGCCCCAACATCGAGCATTTAGCTACAACTCAACGTTTCAGATTCCGATGCCAAGCTCATTAGTTACAGCCGTTGCAGCGTGTTGCGCTTGTCTAGGAACCACAAAGGATAACAACATGCAAACATCCGCATTACTTTCGCGTAGGCCACAGTTGCATTATCATTATCGCATTACAAAACAGACAGGTAAAGCCTTGGCAGTGTTGTTATCAAATGTGGCAACGCATTTCGTTTGTTCTCTCTGTCTCTCTCTTCTTCTATCTTTATCCTTTTTGCCACTCGACTGACTCTCAATGCGGCAAGCAATTCAGCACAGCATTCAGCTGACGCCCCATCGGCTCGCGCTCCACAAAAATTTGTGCGCCTGCGCAGGCACAGCGACTCCTTCAGTGGCTAAATTAGCGCGCTCTTAAAGGACAACACATTGGTTAAGAGCCTGTGAGGTGTTCGGCCAAGAAATTGGCTCTCATTCGCCAACTGTGCTGTTAATATGCTTATTTTATGTCTGCATTAAAATAAATAACCGTTTGTAGTCATTGGGGAAAATGTTTGGCTCTATATATTAATAAATGCTTTTTAAAATAAAATTAGTATTTAAATACACAACAAACCTATATACCGAAAGGCGGAGAAATACTTTACCAAACATTTTAAAGTAGTACTCTAAAAAAGCCTCCATCGAACATATAAATATAAATGTTCCCCACTTTAAACTAATACACGTACTTATTCCATCTTTGTTCCACACAAGCCACACATTACACAAGTTTTTGAAGAACCTTTTCACTAGTGGTTGTAAAAATTCTTGAAACAATGCGTATGAAACCACATTTTAGCTGAGTTTTCAGATAAATAAGAAAGACACTGACAGAAAATAAAACAGGCTTTTAGCTACATTATGTTGCTGCTAGTTTTGTTGTTTTCTTTTGAAATGCTCTCCCCCTTCTGAGAGTTAATTGGTCTTCAAAAATGCCCAAAAAAGTGTACAAGTACAAAGAATAAAACACGCTTTTAGTTACAATATATTGTTGCTAGTTTTATTTGCATGAACACAGATCTCTGTACAACTAGCTGATTGGTGGTATATGCCGATTGGTGGACTTTTTCGTTAGAATGCTCAAAACGAGAAACATTTGATACAAATATACGTTTGGGGCATGATCGGCTGGGTCTGATGATGGATAACATGCAGCAAGATTCACATGGAATTGGCAGAAATTCGTGAACAATGTCTTTTTCAAATGACAGTATAAATAATTTATAATTTATAATTAATGGGAGTCCGAAAATGTTTAAAAAACTAATCTTTATAATAAACGATATGTGAAATTGTATATCATATGGCAATTTAAATAAGAGTCTACTTGTACAATTCGCTAAGGACTAAGCAAAAGTTCTGTGTGACGTGGCAGTTAGTTAGACAGATGGTTAGATATCCATAGAGGCAGCGATGTGTGGTTATGGTTTATATAATGATGGTACTACATAGTAGTAATTACAGGCGCTGGGCTAATACATTGAGTGGCATTATGGGGGCGTGGCAGTGTTGAAATTGCTGTCATCGTTGTCGCCGGCAGTGGCTCTTCAGCCACGCCACGTCAACAGACTCCAGCCTCGCTTTGCTGCCGGTGTGGTGGTGCTTAATGATTCGGTGGACTCTGCCGCTGCCGCTGCCGTTCCCTGCTTCTGTTGCTGCTCATCGCCCGTTCCCTGACGATTCTGCTCTATATAGGTGCGTAGTATTGTATGCTTGTGTACGGACTTTTCAAACTCGGCAGCTGATGGCCGATACGTCTCAAGCTTGTGCCTGTACTTGCCGGGCTGCTGATTGCTCTCCGTTGTGTAGGCGTGGCTGCCACCACGCGACGCAGTGCCAAACGAGCTGCCACCCGTGGACGCTGATGCACCGGCACCGGCACCGGCCCCGGCACCGAAACCGGACGTTGATAGTGGACGCGTCGACGATGCCTGTTGGGGGTATGTGGGGGAGGAGTGTTTAGATGGTGAGGATGGGTTATTGTTTTTCTGGTTGATGTAGCTCTGTATGAGGCTCTTGTTAATGTTGTTAGTCGCTTTGTTGTTATTATTGTTCTTGTTGCTCTTGCTGCTTAGGGCTGCGTTGTAGCTGTACTCATACGTTTCAATGGTATTGCTGCCGAAGACGCTGTTCACCGACGCTCCTGGCGCTGCGCAGAGACCCTGATAGCGGGCAGAGGGCTTCATGCCATAAGTCGAGCAGGAGGGCTTGCCCACCTCGTAGGGATTGTAGCCGACAACGTTGCCACTGTTTAACCCAAAGAGAGAAGTTCGTTAATATCCGAGCATCGTGTCTTCAGTAGTTTTCGTAAACTTACCCAGGTCCATAGTTGCAGACGTAGAGCTTGTTGTACTTGGAGGCATCTTTGTATTCGGAGAAGCCACAACCCACGAGGCTCGTTTCGCCCCAAACCAGTTGGGAGTAGTGGCCGGTCTTGGGAGACCAGGCATCCCCAAATGAGTATTTCTGCACCTCGTTGAACCAGCTTTGTATGCGCGATGGGAAGTCGCCGTCGTCCGCCTCCAATGGAGCAGTGCTCCAAATGATGGCCAAGTTCTGGCCCATTGTGAAACGATCTGGCAAGATAAAGCAATCGATTTAGCAACATTTTCTTCGAGTGTACTGTGCGACTTCTTAGCTAGCTAGGAATGCGGAAATGCAAGTGCTGAGGCATGCTGGGTTAGTTTTAGTGTTTTATAGCGCTATGTGCAGGAATTGAATGGATCGGATGATGAAAAACGATACTCGCTGTGTTTACCGACAACATGCAAACCGCAAACCGCAAGTGTGTGTGTCGTGCTGCGAGCATATCAGAAGATACACTCGCTTTAAGGTATTAATTTTGTTTTGATGTTTCTCTCTCTCTCTCTCTTTTCTCTCTTTCTGCGTCGAAATTTGGAATGTTGGGGGACTGCGGGGGGTTCGGGTGCGGATGCAGGTGCTTGGGCTTAAATTTAGCCAGACTTAGCATGCATTGGCAATAAACACAACTTACTTATTGTTCGATGCGGATCGTGCCGAAATTGACAATTATCGGCCCATTGCTGAGCGCGTGCCGCCAACTCGTCATCCCATATGATTTCACGCATGTTCTCGGCGCCCGGTTGTCCTGGATAGCGTCCGGTTGCCACAATTTGTCGGAGACGGTTGTGCTCCTGCAGAATGATGGAGCGCTCTTCCTCCGTAATGCCCGTTGCTGGAAAAGAGTGGAAGGGGTCAGGTGATTAGCATAAACTCAAATGCGATGGCACTAAAACGAGTCGTAATCATTTCTATTTTTGTTTACAAAGAGAACTATAGGCTTTCTTGTTTTTATGGCATGGCTGCGCGTGTCGTTCCCTAATCGCAGAAAAAAGCAAAACACAAAACACAAAACCACGAAACCCAACGCCATTTATTGTGTATCGGGGACTTTGGTCAAGAGTTGAAAACCATTTTAGTATGTTATGTATGTTAAGCCTTTGTATTTATTTGTGTCGCGCTGCCGCTTAGCCGGTTTTCTCAGTTAATATTTAAGTATTTAGCAAATATCATTCAAGTCGCTTGTCGCTTGTATTTATATTTAATGACCAACATTCGCTGAAATTTACATTTCGCGCCAATGCCGTTAATGTTTCTCTTACTATTTGCATAATTTTTGTAATTCTTGGCTTAACATGTGCTCAAAATTATGTCATGAATACGAGTAGTTCGGGCATGCAAATTTGTTGCCAGACACACATACATACATTTACATAAATTTGCTTTAAACGTTTTTCTGTTCCCCTCCACTCCCCCAGCGGCGCTACACTTTCCTCGTCCTCGCCCTCGCCCTCGCCCTCGACTCGAATCTAAGAATCTAAATGGCTGATCATTCGCCAACCGGTTTTAATCGGGCAAATCAGAAAGCTACTCCAAGTCCAGCAAATAGTATAGACAATAAGCGCGTATTCAATTAGAACTGCCAACAATCGAAAAACTCAATGACAATAACAACAAACAATCAAACCAAATAAAACATCGCAAAAAGTCAAAGCAATAAAATATGAAAAAAGCGGCGCGTGCTGGCAGCGTGTCAGTTGAAACAAAATTTCGCTATTAGCTGACTCTTTATTATCTCTTTGTTTATATAATTAATATACTTATTATGGCCATTATACACACTCGTCACTTCAAGGCTTGACGTCCATTTGAAGTGTGTCAGTGGCAGAAAGCAGAGAATCAGAGAAGCCCGCTGCTGGCCATTGGCTTCCTTGGTCAAGCAAAGCAAAAATCAAAAGCGAAGACCCAAAGAATATGAGTAAAGCAACGGCAGTCGATATAAAATTGCCGCAGGGTGTTAATTAGCTGGCCGCGCATTGCTTGCGCACGTGAACTTATATAAAAGCCGAAATAAATTGCAAAAAAAAACAAAAAATACAGGTATACGGGTATATAAGGAAAAAATGGCAAGACAATTGGGAAAATACTGAAGAGAAGAGAACCTGCGGTCGAGGGCGTGGCCGGCTGATGCATTCCCATTTCATTTAAATAATTACGCATGCTTAATAATTTTTAACAATTTTAATAATAGTCGAGACTCAGCCCGAGAGATTACGGCGAGCGACGTGAGAACATTTAGGAGCTGCTGCTTCCTGGCTCTGGCTGCACTTGGCCCTGGAACCCGGCTTCTGCGGTCAAGTGCCGCGACGTGTCTGCAGCTCGTTTGCTCCTTCACTTCATTGCTCGACCGCTCCATCGCTCCATCGCTCAGTTTGTCAGACAACTTGACGCGCCCAATAAACAATATGTAAATAAATTTGTTGCCATGCTCGACGAGACGAACAACGAACAACGAACATCAGCTTTCAGCTTTCAGTAGCCGGCACACACAAATATGGGTCTAGATGTCAATACGGAGTGAGATTTAAGCATCTTCTTTTCCTCCATCTTCTTCTTATTCTGATGCTCGTTCGTCTGACTTTAGCCGCACTTTGCTTAATATGCGTTCAAGGTTAGTTGGAGTTTGGGTTTCGAGCTGCGTTTTGTTTTGTTTTTGGTTTTGATTTTGTTTGCGGCTATTCAAATCGAGGAGAGTGCCGACTAAAAATAGCTATGAGCGGCACAGAGGCTGTAGAACTCGTCTTTCAGATCGGACTAAGCTCGACCGCAACTGTCAAATTTAGTGTAGATGCTATGCTACATTTAGTGTTAATGCTGCTGCTACAAACATTGAAGCGAAACCGGTAAAATGTGCAAGGCGCATAAATTAAAAGCATCATCGTATTTGTTTGACTGTCTGTTTGTATAGCTGCCTGCATGCTTAAGTCAATATGCATCAATCAGGCAATACTTTGTTGGGGCAATATGCAAATTTGTGAACTACCTTCGGCACTTGTAACTGCCGCTGACAAATTGCACATAAAACTGTCGATCAATTTCCGTAAAACCAACGGAGCAAGTCACCGAGCGGGCGAACGAGGGGCAGATGGAGGAGGAGCAATGCAAACCACTAAGCCACACAGCAAGCCAAGTGGCGTACAAAATGCCAGACATACGACGGCAAAAAAAAAAACAACAACAACAAAATTTACATATTAACAGACTTAACAGACAAAACACAATAAAAATGTTTCGTTGATGTGCACTGCTGCCGTTTTAGCTGCTAGCGATAGCGATAATGTTGACAACGAAACGTCAACAAGTTGCAATAACTTTTCAGCGTGCGCAATACGAAAGACTTAAGCAACGAACTTGACATGAGCATGGATATGGTTTTAGGTATGGGTATGGGTATGGGTATGGATGGCTATGGGCATCGCGCAAATGCTGAACGAATCATTGTAAGGCATTGATGCCGACAATATGTTAACAAGTGCTTAACTGCATTTCGTTCAGGCGTTGACTTCACCTTGAACGAAAGACCGACAGCGAGAACAGCAACAGCAACACAGAAACACAGCAGCAACAACTACAACAATAACGACAAGAAGAAGAAGAAGAAGCTGCAAAATTGCACAGCCTGAGATGTTAAAAAATTTCTGCCGCATTTAGCGAGAGTTAATTTTCATAGTTCCGCTTTATGCTTACATGTTACATGTTCATGTTCATTTCATTTATCATTTACTGATTATCACCAGGCTGGCTGGCCTACCCTTGCCGAATGTTGTATGTAGTTGTTGCTGCCGCTGCTGCTCCTGCCCATCTACATATTTAATTACATTATTAGCACGGGCAGACAACTGTGCGCTAAACTTTTGATTGATGCCGCAACAAAACGACTTTGCCGCAGACACTGAGGCGGCATCGACATTATTCTACGCTTAAAGCGCATATGTGTACTGTGCATATGTGTGTGTGTGTGCGTGCGTGTGTGTGTGAGTTTCTATTCGATTATATAGCGGTGGAGCCTAATTTATGGAAAACGGTAGTCGATAACGAGTTTGCGCCTCATTGCGGAAACTGCTGAGATCACTCAATTAGAAACTTTAGCTCTTTTATGCGAAATTGCGTTGAAAAATATGTTCAATACACACTTCGATTCTAAATTGCTGATAAAGCACAAAAGCAATCATTAATCAAAAGCACACACGCGCACTATAAAAACTTTTTTATGTTAGACAAACAAACAACAACAGGCTGGCAAGTGGAATTTGTTTTCTCAAGAACAAAACCAACCGCGAAAACAAAAATCATATAAAATATAAAGAAAAAGAAATATTGTTGGCGCCTGCGTGTGCAGAGCAATGCGCATAAAAATTGTTTGTGCTGACCATACAAATGACCCATTTCGTTGACAGTCGAGTGACGACCATAAAAATGGGTTTATTGGGTGCGCGAAATGGCATAATTTTTCAATAACTTGAAGTATTTTGCGTTTGTGTCGTTTCGCGCCCTCGGGCTTGCACTGCTAAGACCGTTCGAGTTCGAGTGTCGATTTGGGCCTTTGTGTGCTGCTTAGAGTCTCAGTAACAACAAAGTAGAACCATTAAATATACATATCGTTTACAGCTCAATCAGCGCCAATCTCACGGAGTCGGTTCAATGAGCTTTCTGATCGCCTTATAAACGTAATGTGATTATAACAAGAATTGCCATAATTTTGTTTTTTTAATTAGAGGCATTGCAAATTGTTAATTGAATGAGTGACTCCGAATTGTCACTTGAACGGTTGAATGATAGTCTAAGTTGATTGGCCTTTTATTGGCTGTCCGCTTAGCATTTGACCAAGAGCAACTACCTATATATTGTGTTATATAAACTTGAAATATCAACCGGTTTCTCGCTGCCCGCTTAAATAATGTGAACAACGTGCCGCAAAACTGTCTTGCTGTTCGCCTTTGTCGCTACGCTTGCTTTTAATTTCGTTTTATTGGTGCTTTTCTAAACTTTTTCTTACATAATTCAACATTTGTTTGCAGAAAGAGGCAGCAAACAAGATTTAAGGAAAGTTAAAGCGTGTGCATAGCGCTTAAATCTGTTTTAAAACGAACAAACTGTCAGGCCCTAGGCCCAAGTCTACGTGCACCTCTCGTTTTCAGTTCGTTTATGTCCATGCATATATACATACATATGTATATGTATGTGTTAGTATATTTAACAAATGTTTGTTTACTTATGTATGTATGTACAAGTACGTTTGAGCAGTAAGTGGGTTGTTCAGCTTGACGTTAAACGCTAATTAAACAAAACATTCTGCCTGCCAATTATTTGCTTAAGTTCTCGAGGCGTTTTCTAAGTTTTCAAACCGATCGCCTTTCATTCACAAAATACGAAAATAACAAATTACTAAAACGTGGCACACAAAAAATTAATGAACTACAAAATTGGCAGCACAGCAAGAAAATAAAATCCCAATTCAAGCCAAATAGACTTCATTTAGAGAGCTGTTTATGCATGCCACGAAAGCGCCAATAACTTTTTTTATAATGTCCAAATCTGTCATCGGCATACAAATGACAGTATGCATTGGGGTTGGTCGTGCAAACCCAGTTCTCCGAAAGCCTCGTCTCTCATAAATGATCTTGGGCACTTTCGGACTTGATATATGACTTTTTTAGTAGACCATGAATTTATTTTTAAAATTTAAAAGCATTTATATACCTTTTGCAGACAAGTTTCTATCTATTTATATATTTTGCTATTTATTTGATTATACGCATATGATGAAACAGCTGATAGTTTCGAACAGAGCTGCCAAGCTTTGTAGTTATAATATTTACAATGCAGTTGATATCCATATGCCGCATTTAAAAATGATTTGTATTTGTTACTATTTCGAACAGTTGCAGAAATACTTACAATTATGGAAAATTAACTTGAAAGCTTTGTAAATTTCACAAACATAAATATATCTCTAATCGCCCGTATTAGGCAATATATTTCTTGTGTTGTTTAATGACAAATTTAATTACTTTAATTCAAAACGCAAAGAATAAAAATATTTTTAGTTTCAGTTTGATTAGTCTATTTAATTATTTTTTGGCAAACTTACCGATTAACTTTCCATGGCAGGCGTATGATACGCTGCAAGATATCAGCACCAGGGCCAGAGAAATTAGCGCACGCTGCTGCATCTTTTTATATTTTGTTATGGAGTTGATTCTCAACTGAATCCTTTGCACTAACACAATTCGAATATAACGTTTTTCCTCAAAGACAACGTTGTATTCGTTTACATACACTTTTTTCAAAAATTAAAATTTAGTTCTTTTGTAAATTTTGTTGCCGTAAAACAGTATTGCTGGAACGGGCCACGAATTATTAGAGGGGCGTTGGCTAATTGGCAAGCTAATTGGCTTCAGTGGTGCCTCTTTTTTGAAAAATTTTGTCAAATACCGAAAAAGCGTCACGAAAATTACCGACGGCTTCAACTCCACTCTCGTGTACGTGTAGCTAGACTTGAAGGCGTCGTCTGTTTGATTGGGCGCTGTGCGTTGCTTAGGTTTTTATACCGCTCAAAACTGCTGGCCAGCGATAACGAAAGCGACGAAAAGAGCCGCAAGATGCGTCGTCGCTGCTGCTGCCGTTCAGCACCTGCTGCTGTCGCTGCTGGCGCTGACGCTGACGCAAGCGGTGACTGTGGCGTTGGCGTTGGCAACACCGTAAGCGTCAGCATCACAGCCGAGCAAGAACAACAGCAACAGCAACAACAACAACAACCAAGCTGAAACACGACTGTGCGCAGTCGCACGGTCGTGGCTTTTTCGGCAGTTGGAGCCTAGCAACATGTTGCTAAGCCGCGATCGCACGCAGCATGTTGCTAGGGCACACGAAATTGTTGTGTTCTTTAATAATTGAGCGCAAAGACAATGATTGAACTTTATATTAATCACGCTGTACTTTTGGGCCATGCCGCTTTGTGGTACTCCTGGTCCGGCAACAATCACTTGTGCACTTGGGGCGTGGCATTGAGAGTCCGCCGCCCCAGGTAACCGAGGCCCAAATTAAATTGCGCGAGTATGCAATGATGGGGAAGGCATAAGCATCGGTAACTGCACGGCAACTGCAACGGCCACGGCAAAGGCAACAGTAACAGTAACAGCAACAGGTGCCTGGGGCCCCGCTCGCTCGATCATTTCGCGTATCATTAAAAACCAATAAAAACACCCAATTAAATATAAACAACGAAAACGTCGAAGAACAAATGCCGCTTGATCCTTTCACCGGTGGCTGGGAGTGCGCCAAAAAAGCTCACAGCTCACCAACCAACCAACCAAGCAGAAGTAAAAACAAACAGTAAGACACAATGTAAAAAATTGGCAGCTAGCAGCCAGCAGCAGCAGTCCACATACGCATTTCCGCTTCGCTCATTTTCGCACATCCCGGCTCAAGACTGCTCAGCTTTGAGCAGCAGCCTGCCAACAGGCGGCAGTCCGCATGGACAGTCGCGCTTCTTGCCAAAATAATTACGCGTACAAACCCATTAACAAGTACAAACGATTGCGCCGGCTTCCACAGACACTCGGACACACACAAACACAAACACACACACGCACAAAATTACATCTTTCTCGACTGAGCTGGAGCTTGAGCCTGGTCCCTGGCAACTGGCAACTGGTTTTCCATTTTATTCATTTTTTCACGAATCTTTCGAGCGCGAATGCCACACATGACGTTTGGATTGCGATCACAGGCTCGGACTCGGTCTGTCTGTCTGTCTTTGTCTCAGTCTCAGGCCCGCGGTCTGTGCCCTGACTATGACGTCTCCGCTGCCCATCTGATTTATTTTATTTCACGAAAACTACATAAATATTAAAAAATTATGCTTGCAAAAAATATGAAATAAACATACGCGTATGGCCGACTTGGACAGCGTTTTATTGTTTTTTGCATTCAATATTTTCCCGCTGTTGTTTTCACCCGTCGTATAATTTTTTGCTCTCTTGTTAATTCTAGTTTACATTTCCTACTTAGCTGCCGTAGTCGCCATCTTCATTGGCTTGATTTGTGCTTAAACAATTCGCGTTTCTTCGATGTAGACATGCAGCTAAAATTTAAACAAACATTATTGGCCTTCGAGGCGTGTTCCATGCGCTGTCCAGTTGAGTGTTTGCATATATATCTCTGTAATTATATTCGTGCTTCCAAGATGCTGTGTAGCTGCGTACATTTAAGCTTGCGCATGTTAAACAAAAGGAAAAACAAAAACAAAAACAAAAACAGACACAGAAACAAGAAGAAAAAACCCAAACACCTCATTCAACTTAATTCAACAGCACTTTTGGCATCATCTCCCTGTCTGTTATCGGCAACGTTGTTTTCGTTGTTCCGTTGTTGTCGACGTTGTTGTATCATGCCGAGCCTGTTGTTTTTGTTTTTTGCTTTTTGTATCTTTATGACTCAATTTTATAACGCTGTTATGTTGCGCGTGCTGCCCAACAGTCCAATCATCCACCCAAAAAGCCTAACGGACAAATTAACACTTCGTCGTATTTGTATTTTTCCCAATTTCTCGAAATGTCATTGTGTTGAACTCTCAAATTGTTCTTCCCATTTCAGCAACTAAGAAGATTACGAAACCATTCCATACTATGCTATACTATTCTGCTTCTGCAACAAATTAAATATTGCAATTGAAAGCTATGCAATTAGTATTATCTGTTCAAACAATTATTTGTACAACTACCACCAGAAGTGATTTAAGAATGTCTGCTAAATTATTAAATGAATCTTCCACTTATAGGATAAGTATTTATTAACTTAACTTTAAGTCTACAAGTTTCTCACGAAATGAGATTCTACACTCGACATCAATTCTATTTTAAGTCCAATACTTAAGTATTTTTTCTTGGGCCCTCGAAGAATCTCTGTCAAAAAATATAATTTGTGTAGTGTACTTCAAATGTGTTTCAGTTACATTTCATTCATGCATCTCTCCCTGACTTGCAAATACGTGTTCCGGTTTATAAAAAGGGGGACTGTGTCCTGTCAAATGTAAGTGGGTATTACACATGCAAACTTTCTTTATTTCTGGTTGCATTTCTTTCTTTGAGTAATACTAGGAAATCGGCATGCTGCGTAATCTGAAATGATTCACACGACTGCCGTTCGTGTCCGTTTGTGATTCAGTTGAATTATCAGTTAGTGCATAAACAAAAACAAAAACAAGGCACTCTGACTAATGCAAAAACATAACTTTTCAATTGTATGTTACACAGCCGGCAGAGGGGGAGACTTTCTGCGGAACAAGGCCATGCACTGATAATTATTTCTAATCAGTCAGTCGCGTATTTGCAGAGAGCTCAAGGCGGCCAGAGTATGATTGTTATCGCCGAACGCATCGCGGAACTGCATTGACAGTTATCGATGTTTGCGCATTCGCATTTTGTTTGACCTCATAATTGCATTATTATTGATATGAGGCTGTGCCAAATGGGTTGGCAATGATGCGAATAGCCGTAGCCCCATTAGCGTCTACTGATACATCGATATCGCCAGCGTCAGCATCAGCTTCAAAATGGCGCATTCTCGCGAGCTTTTCACTTCCGCTGCCATAAATCTTGCCAAACAATTTTCACTCTATGACAAATGCGCTTTGTATGACAAAACATTTTCATATGATTTCAATTTTTGCACTTGACAGTGGCGACTGCAATTAAAATATTATTAATTGCAAATGAAATTGCCGCTGTCGACGTTGGCGATGGCGATGGCGACGGGGACGGCACTGCCGCCGACGCACAGCGATGCGACGCTTACAATTTGACAGAAACATAATTAAAATGTCATACAGATTGCTTTCATGATGAAGTTATTCCCAGAATACATACTATATAGTATGTCTGAATATATAGCCGGGCAGAAGTTGCGCGCGTGAGTGAACTCCATTAACAAATTGCCAGCAGATTCTGCAAGCGTATATACATATGCTATACATATGTGTGTATATGTGTGCGTGCATATAATATTTTGCACTTAAACACGATATTTAGTTTTAAGCATAAATCCGGAATAAAAGCCAATTTAAAAGCGCCACTCACACTTTCGGGCTGTTCCGAAAATAAGTCAAGAACACGTGTTTCAATCAATGAAAAAAGCTATTTTTTAAGACTCAGCGATTTTAATTAGAGAAACGTTTTCATTCTTATGCTAAATCGATTCATATGCTGATCAATCTGAGCATGACATACAAGTGTGCGCCATGCGCGTTTTGTGTTACTTCTTTTTATGGCGGCTCACAGACAAACACACCCATAAGGGAACTGGAAGTATGGTTGGGCCTGGGTATTGATATACACACCTTCATTAATTCGCTAAGGTAGCCGGCGATTTTCATTAAAAAGCCGTCAGCGTACAATAAATTTTATACAGTTTTTAAGGTATACCCTATCAGCAAATGACGGTCAAGTATATTGCACATCTGAAGTGCTCAACCAGGTACAATTTATGTCCTTTATTTCTGTACAAATGCAACTTCGAATAAAATCCACTCGAATACATTTGACTCTTATTTATAAAGCAAAAAAGCTTCTACTGAATTTCATATCATGAACTTTTTATATTCTATGATAATTATAAATTGTTGACAATATTATAAACTGAAACTGTCATCTGAAATTGCAGCTAAGCAACAAAGTATTTGTAGAAAAAATGTAATACAAGTATGTTGAGCTGATCTGTTTATTTTTGTTGAAACAAGAAGGAACACGCACCAATTACAGGGTACCTTACAGTCTAATATGCCCAACGTTTGCAGCATTTACGTGTTAAGACTTCATTCCTTTTTTTTTTGGTGTGTCATTTTGCGCTGATTTGCCGATTTTGCTGGCCTTTTTATAGGCTTCATTATGGATTTTTTGTATATGCCGCATGTATTTATTTTGCGCAAGCAGGCAACAGAACATAATTTCATCGCTCTTTATCGAGCCGCTGCGCATGCGCCGACGTTGCCGCCATTGGTGTCACAGTCTCCCAGGGTGCGCATCGACACTTAATGTGAATGTTGATTTATTGACGGCAGAGTGCAGCCATTGAATCGTTATCTGGCCGATTGAGTGGCTTATTTGTCAAGCAACCGTTAAATGTTTCACAAACTGTGCCTTTTCTACATGCTGTGCCATTTGATATGCCACTGCTGATATGAAAGACCCGTATCGGACAGAGAGACGACGCCACAAGCCACATTCATATGCATATGGCAGGCACGACAACTCCGACTTGTCCGTCGCATTAGCAGCCACAAAGCCGAACGACAACTTAATCAAAGTAAATGCTGATAATTATTTATGAACTGCTGTAGCTGTCAGTGGGAAGAACAACAATACCAACAACAGTAGCAGCAACAAAAACCGCTCAACACAATACCTAAATTAAGAAAACTATTATCATGGCTTAAGTAACGGTTTCAACTAGGTGGTCTGCGTGCCTCAAACTCAAACCGAAAGTTATGAGACGCCTTTGCTAGAAGATCTCAAGATGAAGTCGCCGACACGCTCGGTAAGTTTCTGGGCTCAGTCGCTTGCCTTGAAACGCCACTGGCTATCTAGCTTCTGATTCTACACACTCTAATCTGATACAAACATATTTGTATTTAGAATAGAATACGTAAAAATTATCTGATAATCCAGCTAACCATCTAGCGAATTCTATGCACGATTGTTTGATTTTCTCACTCGGTGATTGTGAAAAAGGTCATGCTTGGCTTGGACTGTGCGGAAGTTCAAGCAGGCGGCTCTGAGCGAGAATAAAAGAGAACTTGGTTTAATTAAGATATTCTAATTTAAGCCGAAGCTTGCACACCCTCTCTACACAGCTCAAAGAAGAGTAACGCTCTGCTATGTTTGTTCTGCCTAATATTTCTTTGTGAATTCATAATTCATAATGAACAAATTACATGAATTCTAATATCTCAATATTGAGTGAAATAGACTGAGTTCTTATTTATATCATCCTATTATCAACGTTCAAAAACATTCCATTTCCACTTTCTGCTTCTCTTTGGTTGATAACATAATAATATAATTGAATAACTTGGAAAAAAATCGAACACTGTTTAATTAACAGACGCCTTGGAAAAATATTAGCAAGCAATTGATAAGGAAACTATGCAACACGATTCTTAAGTGGTTCTTCCTATCGCTTGTGTTTTTCCTCATTGCTTAGAATACCGCAATACACAAGAAACCTGTTATGAATATTTTTTGTGCAACAATTCAAATGACTCTGCAATTTGTTGTTGTGGCGCTAAGATACTAGAGAAGTTAAGCTAGCTATTTATTTTCAGGTATGATAACAAATATATATTTGTCGCATGGATGATTCACTTGAGTCTTGTTAAAGATATTAACAGCTGGAAGTCCAATCAAAAAATGTTTATCTGCAGAAAGTCCAGTTGTTGGATACAATGTGTTAAATGGATTTGACTTTTTGGATGAGGCTTCACTCAAATAGAGTTACGTTTTTATACCTCTATGTATCTTGCTGCGTACCACTGCCTATATGTGGAAGTGTATATAAATAGATATGGTTAAATATCATAATTTTTTAATTAACTGCCACTTGAGTCGACACGACAACAATTGAACTAGAAGTTCAACACCTTGGTGCGAAACTCGTTTGTCGGGTCGCTAAAGAGCCGCAACAAGATGTCAGCTAAGATGACAAATTATGCATAAGTAGCTGGCGCGGACTGTTTGTTGAACCAGACAGCGAGCTGAAAAGAAAGAATAGAGCCCGTCACCTGCTCTTCCCCACCCCTGTGAAGAGGAGGTCTCAGACCATTCACGCTTAAATTTTCGTTTATTTGGTTCCTTTTTCTCAATGCGTGCTGCCGAACGATTGACGGGTATTGTGTACAAAAGGCACGAGTTGCGATTAATTGAATTGACATGTGGACCAGATTTCAGACAAGAAACTTATCGATTTTCCAAACAAAGCTAATTAGACTAAGACAAAAATGCAGCTTGTGCGGATGGCCGCTTGGGCACAGACGCTAAACACCGACATCCGGTACGGATGTTTAACGATCTGGGCTCAGTTTCCGGATGTCATCCACACACAGAATCACACAGAACGAAACTCCGAGTACACATCAAGAAGCAGAAGCTATGGTTCTACCTGATCCGCCTACTTTTGAGGCGCTCTCGCAAAGCATAGGCACCCAGACTCAAGACAATGCCGAAGCCCGTAACGTAGGACATGTATGGCCAGCTTCGATGCCAAGCGGGATCAGGATCGGGCTCGAGCTCGAGCTCGCACGCGATCTCGGGCTCCGGCGGGCACTCTGTGTTCGCCTTGCACTTCATCTCTTCAACAGCAATCCTGTGCATAGCAATGGGCATTTCCAATACCACTTCGTTTTCTCTTGGGCTGGAGAACTTCTGTTGCAGCTGATTGGTTTTCGAGACTAGCGGCTTCCGGTGCGCCATGGTCGACTCGATGGTACTCTTAACGTCACGGCCCCGCTGCTTGTACCGCATGGCGGCCTTGTATTTCTCCCATGTTTTGTGCACATTGTGATTTGTGTAGCAGTTCTCCATGGGCTTGCAAACGTCCAGCTGCAACTTCAATCGGTTGTCGTACTCGTTGCGAGTGGCGGTGTTGTAGAGCGTCTTGTAGGCCTCGCATATTTTCACAAAAGCCTCGGAGTCGCAGGCGGAGCTGTTTGAGTCTGGATGGTATTTCTTCGACAGCTTGATGAAGGCACGCTTGATTTCCTGTCCGCTGGAGTCGACCGGCACATTAAGAACGTCATAGTAGCTCTCGTTACGGCGTAGTAGTGTTCCCAGGTACCCATACCGCGCCCCATAGGTCGCCAGCCGGCGCACCGTGGTGCGGGTACTTCTCTGCATGGTTCTAAGCATTGACAATAATTTAGCGCGTCCGAAAATATTTACTAAAACAAACAATTTTTTTTTAAAAGTTGTGTTGTTTAAAAAAAACTTAATTCGAAAAGCTATGTGTCTGTGTTCCTATACATACGTGTGCCCGACTCAAAACTATACAATTTGTCAACTGAGGGCACCCACTAGCTGCCTAGCAAACATACGAGTATTTAGGTCACTAAAGTGCTAAATTGATTAAACAACAAACACCAACAAACGAACAGCCTCAAGCCTCGCCATCATTGGTTGAGTCAGCGACACTTGATATGGCGTAACGAAATAAGATTAAGTGACCCAGACACACTAACGCCAATTTGCAGAGCCGTCATGCCAGGTAATTGTGTTACCATTTATTGTTTGTTTCGAACCTGACCTTGCGCAAGTGCCAACGAACTTGGCAATGAAATCGAGTGTTACATCTTCCATAACTTGGTCTTGATGTATTTGGATTGACGTGTGTATTCGCACCTCGCCCCCGCTTCGTATTACAGCCTTTTAACACCACGAATGCTGGGGTGTGGGTGTGTTTGGTGTTTGGTTGAAGGCACATTTCACTCGAATTGATGTGACAGGGAGACAAACAATTCCATTGAACTTGCCGTCACTGTTTGTTTGCGCAAATTGTTATTAAAAACTTTGCTGTTGTGGTTGTTTTACAGGCCAGAAGCACCCAAACAGTTGACAATTTCTGGCGAATTTCAATGCCAGCCAAATATTTGCACAGCCTCAGTTGTCAGCAAGTGCGAAATTAAAAATTATTCATAATATTTGCCTGTGAGTGGAAAATCTGCGGCTCATTCATAAAAATGACACACTGACGCATTAGTGTGGCTATAAACTAACCATAAACTTGTTGCTGTCAGCTGTTAAATTCATAATTGCTAATGGAAAGCTGCAAATTGAATTTCACACCAAGTGTGCACAAGCATGAAAAACATTCCCTCCTCAACGAACTATGCTCTACCCTGGTCCTCCTCCTCCAAAGTGAGCATCCGAAACTCATCGCTTTCGCACCACTGTGCCGGAGCAGCAATCAGAGATCATTTGTGCATGTTGCCGTATGTTAATTGACACTAAAAAGTTTTTCGAAAATATAATATACGAGCGTACAAAAAACTATTAAAAATTGACATTTGAAATCGAACGCTTAGATCGTGTCACTATATTCCAGTCACCAACCAGCTCAGATAGACTTTGCGACTTGGCGAAAGCCTGGCTATTGCGAGGTTAGTTACAGAAGTACACAGAAGAAACTGCTATTTTAATTGGAAAAAACAATGTTCAAGGCCTAACAAAATTTAAAAAACAATACTTTCACTTCGACAATTAGTTATTAACAATGGTAGGCGAATAGCTAATAAGCTAGCAAACATTAGTATGTAATAGTTGAAATTGTCAGATGAATTAAATCAATTTTTACTTTTTACATTCCGGTTCACTCGATATCAATTTATAGAACAGATAGATCTCGAACAGCTATTATCTTTTTCGCAGACTTTTCGCATTACATTTACTTACTCTCTCGAAATTTTAAAAACAGTTCTTTGGTGAATATTTGTCAATCATAAAGAAATGTTTGCTTCTGTTGTATGTTTCGATGAATTATAAACAGCAAATCCAGATGTAGATATAGTTTCCAAATTGCTTGCTCTTTCCTAGGTCGCTCACAACTGGAACTCCCCTCGTAGTTGCATGGCTAACAATAAAGTGTCTAGAGAAAAAACAATAATTGAGAACAGGTTCTATTTGAGAGCTGGTGTTGGCTTTTTTTCTCTCTCTCTCTCTCTCCATGCGATGGGACGCATTTGTGGCTGCAAAGATTTACGGCAACTGGTGACTGGGCGATGGCGATGGTGATGGTGATGGTGACGGGGACTGGTTGGATCTGCCTTTGCCGCACGCTGTCTCATTTATCTAGGCAAATAAAATTTGCGTTTATATGCGATTTTTTGCTCTTACGAGTAGCTTTTTATGATGACTTTTGTGTGTTTTTGTCACTGGCTGGTGCCTTTCCTTCCACTCCAGCATTGTTGATCACACTATGGAGACGACTGTCTGTCATTTGTCTTTAGGTCTTTATGCTTTATGTTGGGTCAATGGACATGAACGCCTAGGAGTCTGCCGCGTCCAATCGATTTGCTGGCCCCGCGCAAAGCATTTAAATTATTCATGTGTCAAGTCGAAGGCTGCTTTTGTTCTTTGGCCTGCACGCGTGTAAGCCAGACAAGCAAATGATTTGATCGCTAGATTAACTGCAGATTGTGCGCGAATCAATTAAAAAGTCTGAGTAATAATGGGTTAGACCGGCAACCCGAAGCAACAGCGGAAATAGCTTGGCTCAGCTGTCTGTTAGCCAACTTTTTTCCAACGCTGTGCGTGTGGCGTGTTGTGTGTGTGTGTGTGTGAGTGTGTGTGTGTGAGTGAGTAAATAGTCAGACATACTCCATAAGTTGGGTAAACAGTTTTCATTTGTTTATATTTGTATTAATAAAGTGAATCGAACAATATTTATTTGTTAAGTCGTCAAATAAACTCTGATAGTTATAGCCAAGTACATGATTAAGTTTTAGAAATTTTATACATATTGGATGAAGGGTGTCCAGCACACTGCTCTCTACTTGTATCTCAAATATTTGTGCTGCATGTGCGTTTACAAAAATATACGTATCTGAGTAGGAAACATGAATATATATTGCAAATATAAGTATCTCTCTCTCTCTATGTTTACAGTTAACATTTACATTCAAATCTCATCGCTATCTCTCTGGTTGGATAGACGCTGCACGAAGCACAGTTCGAGTATCTAAGTAGTTGTAAAGCTTAAATTCGTAGACATTTAAGTGTGGCACACAAATATTTCAATTCCCATTCCCCTTATTGTCATAGCCATATCCATTAAGGCTGCTCTCCTTCATACCACAGTTCACATTACAGGAGAAATCGCTTCGGCGACTGCTTAGTTGAAAGATAAATATTGCATAATTCCCAATCAATTCATTATCGTTATCACTTAACAGCTTTACACCTTTGGTTCTATGGAAAAATTCCAAAGCTGCCTCCAAAAGATACATCTCTTCCAGAGACGGAAATCAGGAAGCTCTAATCAATTTACTGGTGTATACAAGTTATGAGGCGAGATACGAAATAATTATCGACATTTCAGTTAAATTTGATTCAACAATTTCTCGCACAAGCTGATTTCTCGTCATCAATGCAATACTTTAGGAACTTGTTTTCTATTTCCACAATCCGTACGTACAAGTATTTTCTTCAATCTTGACTGCTTCGCTTAAGCAATTTCTACAGCAATGTGCATTATGACTCACTAGAACTATCAACTACCGCTTTGTACCCATTGCGCTTACCGCTACCTGTTTACAATTAGGCTCAGACTTTGCGTTTGTTTTTGCATATTCGATTCGTGGATTTGTGGATTTGTGGAAGAGTTTTTCGTTTATAGCTAATAATAAAATCACTGAGGGTCTGTAGTTTTAAGTGCTGAGCGTGCACACCTGTCGTCGTGTCGTGCCTCCCGCTTATCCGCTGATGAGCCACATCTTCAAGTACACAAAGGCCGCCGCGGCCACGTGCGTTATTTGCTGCGCAATCGCTGTAAGAGAAGAAGAAGAGAGGGAATCGGGGGATAAATGAAATCAAGTTTATTAGATATGCCGGGCACTGGGCGTAGTTAAAGCATTTTTATGTACTACAATAAAATGTCAGTCATCGAGTCAGCCGAGTGCAATGCTAATTTACATTTACACACACAACGCCGAGCACAGTCGTCAATTTTAATGCTCTGGCACTTTAATGCTGCGCCCTCTCCATACCCATACCCATGTCCATCTCCATCTGCAGCTCCAGCCCAGCTCGAGCTCCAGCGACCATTCCAGCGACCATTCCAGCGACCGCTCCAGCGACAGCTTAGGGCCAGAGGACACAACCCTTAATGAAAATTCATCTTTTTAATTCATCATTGGGCGGCAAGGCGGCTAAAAACTTTATACCAACCGAAAGCTTGGCCTTTCAGCTTTTTATGTTTTATGTCGACGAGATGACTTAGGCGGCCATAAAACTTTACACCGGACTCTGAGCCTTGACAAATGGACTGCATCGCTTTAGTTGAACGGGCAGCCAGGCAGGTAGGAGCACTTTCAACATCCCAGCAGTTCTTCAATCTAGTAGAGCAAAGCTGACAATAAGCACTTCAGCATTTTCAGAGGAGACTCATATCTGGGTGGAATAGTCCAATTATTTTTATTGGATTCTACTGCTGAGCCAACTACTTAGCACTAACAGACTGATAGTAATACTCTATACCCAATGACGGTAGATAAATCTTCCTCTTATCCTCTTCTAGAGTAGAAGGTGAGTTTAAGTTTTTAACAACAATAGCAAAATCTCAACTTAACGTTCTTTGAATAGAATTGAGTAACACGTTGGTAGATAACAAGAGTTAATAAGGATTTTCATTTATACTCCGGACAATGTGGGTCCTACATTAAAACATTTTGTTTCAAAATTGTGTTTAAAAAACAACAAAAATGTTGAATACAATTGTATGTGCGGATATGTATTTCTTTGCTTTTCAGCTAAACAACTGATATACTTATCTGAACATAAAACTCGTACATTTAATTTGTAGTTTCCAAAAAATATTAAGGTTTACAAAAATAAAAAAAATAAATGGAATACAAATGTTGTATGTACTTTTCAGCAATTCTATAACCAGCTACTTATCTGAACATAAAACTCGTACGTTTAATTTTTAAGTTTCCACATAATTTTCCTGTTGTTCGACACTCTCAGAACTGTAGGGTATTCAAAGTTATCTGTCTGTCAGTCTGTCTGTACGTCTGTCTGCCTGCTTTTATGCACAGTAGGAAAATCTGGGCAATTTGTTGTTGTTGTAATTATTCTGCAGGCATTTTATTTTAATTAGCGTTGATTAATTTGCATTTTGTCATGCATGCGGAAGCGGCTTACGGGCATATTGTAAATTTATTTGCATAATAAATTAAATTTTCCTTCTCATCTGGAAGAGAGGGAGAGCGGGACACACTATAAAGACCGTGTGCATGTGTGCGTGTGTGTGTGTGTGTGTGTGTGTGCGTGTAAGTCAGTCATAAATATGTGAATTTATTCGGTGCTCATAAGTGCATTGCATTTTTATTAATTGATTAAATGCAAAAGTTATATGACGTAGACGCAAAAGTGTCTTATAATTAACAGCTACTAAAGCGATGATGCTTCCTGAAGTTGACAGTTCGTTAATTGAGAATATAGACGGGGTCGTTTGTGTGATAAATGAAAGTGGTGGAAGCCCCAAGGGGGATCTGCGTTGAACTTTTGAACCCAAACCCAAACTCGAACCCGGACGGGTGGCGAGTTAAGAAAACAACTTTGTCTTTAGTACATGATACATGAGTTTTATTTTACTTATATCCATTTGTATCGATATACAATATATTCGTAATATGATTTCACATCATTCTTGATTTGTTTTTCATTTATTTTTTGTGTTTGTTATAATTGTTTACAATTGTTTAGTAATTGTTCGCTTTGAATTTAAGCAATTCGTATTACATTTAGTTGTGTTGTATTTGCTAATTCATTTCATCTTTATTTAGCCGAATTTTGTTATCATTATATAAAGTATATGTATATATATATTTATATATATATATATATATATATATATATATATATTGTATGTATATATATTCAGTAAAATGATCCCTACATTTTGTATGCTCATGTCATAAATTTTCTATATGTATGCGTATGCATCATGTTGTGTATATATACTTGTATTTTCTTAAAACAGTAATTTCATATCTTTGTCTTTTGTTTTTGGTTGCCTGCGCGTGTGTGTGTTCTGTTTTTTGGTTTCTCTTCTTATTTACTTCATATATTTCATTAAATGTAAAGTAAGTTCTGCGACAATAATAATAATTGTAATCATTAGTTGAATTGTAGTCCTCTTTTATATTTCTGCTGCTGCTGCCGACTTGATATCTATCTGAGTATGGGTATGGGTATATGTGTGTGTGTGTGTGTGCGTGTATTTATGAGTGCCTGATATAGACATACAAACGAATGCATTAGCGAACGATCAAGCTCTAATAATAATAATCAGAGCCTTAGCCTGGGCCTGAGCCTAATTATACGATACCTTTTAGCTGAACACTAAGCACTTAAACGAATTTAAATGAAATACAAATTAGAATTGCCATATAATAGCTTGCGACACCTGCTATCAAATGGGAGCATCGACCTATTTCGTTTTTCATTTTCGAGTTCTAATACTTTTAATTGGATTGAATGACTCTTGCTCTTTGAATGTTGTTAAGTATTTATAAATAAATTGCTTGGGAGTTTATTTATGTTGATGTGTTGTTTATAGCGTTTGTGTGTGTTATTATCAATTAAGTGGTTATTGCAGTGGACATACAACATTAAATCGTAATTGAATTATTCATTATTGTGTCAACTAGTACTTTGCGGGGGAAGCTATTTTCATAATTTCTTCATTTTCGATTTCAATCAATTTTTGGTGGTGGTGGTGGTGGTGGTTTTTTTGAGAATGGGGGTGCATGGAGCATGGAAATTAAAAACTAAATCGCCTCAGAAAGTTACACAAAATGCTTGGCATGAGTACCTACAAGTATATAAGCTAACAGCTATAATAACAGTTGGTTGTGTATTTTGAAACAACTTTCCCATATACATACTATATGTAAATACGTTTTCGTTTTTATTCTTTTATTACCACTAACAAGTAAGAACACATAATTAACCACAATTTGTTTTTGTTTTTGTTTTCCTTTACTTTACTTTTACACAACGCGTACGCCTGCCCGTTTATTTATTCATATTTGTATATTTTATGCTGTTTTTGTTTAAATTATTGTTTATGTTCTGCGTTGTGTCTAGTTGCTGCTTAACTTTTACAAATTGCCTAAACAATGTTTGGTTTACTTAAGAAGTCATAAATCAGAGCCTTACACTTGCTGCTGCTGCTGCTGCTACTGCTGCTTTCATTTAATGGTTAAGTATTTCGTCTTTAAATATCCATAATACATAATTAAACTAAATAAATAATAGGCCATATACTGATATGTATTTGATTTTTATACATAAAAAACGATCCATTAGTATTACTAAACGTCTCTGCCGCTTTAAGTCTAAGGTATGTCTGCCTATAGGTTGTTTATTATTACTTTTGTATTATTATTATTATATATAAGTACTTGTATGTATATAATTATTTTATATCTACCATATGTATGTGAGACCTATTTTTTGTTCTTATACACTTTTAGGTTTTTATATTCAAATGCATTTCTGTGCCGGCGTTTTTATATTTTGTGTATGTGTGTGTGTGTGTGTCTGTGTGTATTTAGTGTCCTGTATGTAGCAATCAATAATTTACATTGTACACATGTCGTCTGCCACTTTTGGGTGAGTGTGTTACCTAGAACTTGGTTTTTATTATCAGATGTCGTAGCTGATATAATTTGCAACGTTTACTTAATACAAGAATTTTAACTATGTATGTTTTTGTTTTGTTCTTCTTCGTATCTCCTTTTTGTTTCTGTTACACAACACAAAACAAATAACCATTCAACTAAACGAACCTTTCTGTTTTCCTCCTGTATTTTAGTTGCATATGCACTTAACTAATACAATATGGCTGTATAATTAGCGTAATTCACAATATACATAACTATATAGGCCGGGTGCGGGTGTGCAGGTGTGTTGGAGTGTGAAGTGACGTTTACATATGTGTATGTATGTATATTTGTGTATATTTATTTATCGTTTTTCGTTTTAAATATAAATTCTTTTGAAATAGCACACTACTATAGCGAAAGCGCACAGTTTTCTTTTACTTTTTCTTTTCATTCTCTATTACCTAGTTTCTTTGTTTTGTTTGTTTTTTAATGCAACTGGAAGAACTGCAACACAAGAAACAAATCATAGGTCACACGAATATTTTATAGTAATTGATCAAAGAGACTTACGAAGTTCATCGTGTATCAAAATTTAGATCTATAAGCATAACACTTGGAATTTATTCATTCGTTTTTTCTTCATTTGATTTATTCATTAATTTTTGTCTCTTAAGTTTTCCTCTTTTTGTTTTTGTTTTCGATTTTATTTTGTTTTTTGTTTTCTGTTTGTTTTTTGTTTTTTGTTTTTTTTTTTTGTTGCTTCTAAGGCGAAATATTATATTGTCAATTCTTTGGCTTGAGCCGAAAACCATGCAAAATGACAAAATATATTTCTAAAGGAAAATTCATGGAAAATTGTCGCGTCCAACAAAAGGAGAAGGAGAATCGGTACAATTTACGATTTCGAACATTCGAATAGTACAATACTGTTCATATTATTTCTGAAGGCAAAAGGCATAATACTAGTACACACTAAATTCATCATCAATATTTGCATTACAAGTATGCGTCCAATGACGGCATGGACATGAGGGAGTGCAGCAAACCCCGCCGAGGGTGCAGAGCATTGGAGGGCTGCTCTGCCTGCGACTCGGCATCAGGGAGGGTTCACAGCACCCGCTATGCAGCTTTAGTTCTTACCTAACATGAGAGTTCAATACTCCCTTCATTGCGAAGTGGAGAGCTTCAGAACGCGTTCTACTCGTACATTTATTATCTAGATCGTGCCAGAGTCAGCCATTGGGAGAGCTGGCGCTTTACTACAACAATCGTATGAATAACATTCAAATAATAGTCTTGGGGCTATTTGCTTTCTAAGTTAATTCATTTTCATTCATATTGTTTGTTCGAATGACGCTCCCAACTTGCTCGAATAACCGAACGACTTGTGTATCATCATCATCATCATGAGAGGGGGAGAGGGGTTGCGGGGCACCTTTATTTATATATTTGTTAAAGCTAACTTTTTATTTGGAATTCACAAAGTTTTCTTGTAGATAAACATACATTTATTATTTATACGGTTTTGTTTTCAACTCCAGCCACACATTTGCTTAATAAATAGTAAAAAATTTTAAAGTTATTTACTTGTCTTTTATATTTTTATGCAATTTTCTTCTCATTTCGTTTTTATTGCATGGTATAAAAATATAAATGTTCACATATACTTAAAAATCTTTCGTTTAAGTTATTTGTTATTTATTCATCTTCTCCTTTTTATTTATACATACACATATATATATATATAAGTATATATATGTTTTAAAAAGTATTTTCAAGAAAATTTTAACTTAGGATTGTGTTCTTTGAATCGTTACAAGATCGTTTTCTGCGTTTACTTATTTGGGTTTTCATGTTTCATGTTGCTGTTGTTCTTCTCCTTAAGTATTTCTGATTTCTGATTCCTTCCAATCGATTTGGATGACCGAGTGTGAGAGGTTAATTGTTTGGAGCGCTCCATTTGTGGCAAGCTGTCTCCACAAAGGGATCGTAGATGCTTCCATTACAGAGTAGTGTGTGGGTGTATGTGTGCGTGTGTGTGTGTGTCTGTGGATCTTAAGTCTACGATTTTTGTTAACCCAACTTGATGCTATTGTTGTTGTTGTTCTTGCTCGTTAGTTTTGCATTTCGCAATTCTCAGATATATTCCTAAGTAGTTCTACAGTTGAAAGCGAACATCGCTCAAATAGGCTTGACCACAATACATAATACAATATTCAATAAGAGTCGTTTAATATCATCATTTTAGCTTGTGTTTTATTCATTTTCATTCATTTATAGTAATTGTTATTGGTAGAAACAGTTACTGCTCACTTTTTGTTTTGTTTTAATTTGTTTGGTTTTGTTTCGTTTTGTTTTCTTGTCTGTTCTTCATAAGTCTAATACTTTCATTAGCAGCTATCTTTTATTTCATAATATTACATTAATTATCTGTGTATTATTACAATATTTATTAATAAAAATAACTTAATTTATATCAGTGTTCCTTAGGTTAATAAATTTTGAAATTTTCGCTTTCAATAGTAAATACACATTGATATGCTTCTTATACGATTTCAATGACGCTCGCTCGTTAGTCTGCAATATAAGTTTACTTGTATTTTGTATTTTTTAATTATTATTGAAATCTTCACTTTTGAATCTCTCGACTTATACTTCATTGCGCTAAGATTTCGATTGAATTTTATGTATAGTATTTCGAACAATATTTATTTGTAGATATAGACATACCAAGTTTATATATTTTTGTTTTCTTTATTTTACAATGCATATTTGTGTTCTTGTTCTTTTTTTGTTTGTTGTTGTTGTTGTTTCTGTTGCAATTTCGCTATGTGTATAAAATTACTAATAATCTGGTTTCCATTTATTTAGTTGCTCTCACTAAGCCAATTTGTAAAACGTTTAGTACAAATACAATAATGTATATATGTTAATATATATGTATGTATGTATATATATATATATATAATATACTGATATGTTCTGCCATATAAATATTTTATTATTTTTATTATTCCTACTCCTACACTTCCTACTTCCTCCTCTCTGATCGATTCACTTTCTTACACATTCTTGTGTTTGACAACAAACTGCGGAAATTTGTTTATACTCGAATATTACTTCTTGATTTGTGCTTGGTATTTGTAGTAGTTCTTTGTTTGTTTGTTTGTTTCAAAAATTCTGCCAATATGCAATACAAATTTGTTCAAATGTTCAAAGGTTGGCGTGTTCGTTCGGTTTGTCATAAAAGGGTCGCGGCTACAAATTTCTGGTACTCCAACAAACGAGGGTTACAGCATTTCAAAACCAAACCAAAAATAAATGCAAAAAAGGCTGCTTCAGCAAAATCTGTTCATTCATTCCATCCTTCCTTTGACTTTAATTGAAAAGTGTGGAAGCGAGCAGTCCCCGATTTATCAAAAAACATTTTCAAAGTGTTCCTAATGACTGCCCTCATTCCAGCTGCCAACATGTTCTATTTTATAAAACCTACTATTCTGGTTGATTGGTTCGGTTCGGTAATTCATTGGGCCAAGAGTTTTTGTGGTGCGGTTCGAGGCCAATTTCTATAAAAATTAAACAATGTGCGGCATGCTACAAAAAATTCTTCGCTTAAGGCGCTTTGCCCGGCCGTGGCCTCCAATTTCAGTGCGTGTGTGTGTGTGTGTGTACGTGTGTGTGTGGATTCAACAAACACTCGTACTTAGTATTACTTTTGCTATTCAGCAGCCGCTTAAATCAGCAAACAATTTAGCGCCAAACTCCTTCCTATTGATATGTATGGCAAGCCGCATTCTACTTCTATCCGTGCAACAAAATCTTTGCCTGCGGCTAGTGGACATCTGGACAGCTAACAATTACAACTACAACTTCGACACACATATATATTTGTGTTTTGTTTTTTTTTTTTCTTACTTGTTTTTTGTGCAGCACTAAATTCATTTACAAATGTTCAGCAATTGGCTCTGCAGCTGCAATGCACAACTCAACTGTGGAGTTCTAATGTTCAATATCTACCAAAAACCAAAAAGGGCTCCTCCACAAATCTATTTGACATTTGACATTGATGTTTGGTTTCATTCGCTAATTATCTGTATTATTGGGTGTCAGTAATATTTCATCTTATATCGCTCCTCTACGTGTCATGTCGTGCATTTTGTTTTAGAAAACTCCTTTGGTTCGCAAGGCGAATCCGGTGTATAGGAGCAGCGCGAGGCCCAAAATCTGCTTGCTTTGTGCTGATGTGGATGCGGAAGCACTTCCTGATTTGCCATCGCAGCCGGAGCCTGTAAGAGAGCAGAGAGAAGAGGGTGTTATTTGGAGTCATCGACAATACAGTTATTATGACTTGCAATCGATGGGCGTATGTGGGCGTTTCTTGAACCAAATGTTTGACTAATTAACTGCTACCCCGGATAGTTTTGAATGTCCGTTGAATGAGGAAACGAACAAAAAATTGATTGCTCCCAGTGGCCTTTTGCTATAGTGTGGTATATACAAGTATAGTATTTGGTTATAGTATCTGTTTGGTTTCTAGCTCTGCTTAGCATATAATAGAATAGAACTGAAGCAAAACATAAATCAAAAGTACATAGAAAAGAAAGCGGTTTTGTTTGGTGCGAATTGGGGTGCATTTTAAAGAGAGAACTTAAAAGCAATTTCACGCGAACTTACCTTAACTAAAACTCCTACAACATTGTCTGCATTGCATTATAACTGTATTTTAGCTGCTCGATGCTAACTTCATTCCAAACATTCATTCATTTGAACTCAAACTCAATTCAATTCAATTCAATTCAGTTTCGTTTGCGACACATTAGAACTTAACCCGACTAATTTCATGATGCTGTCAAAATGCAAAATGCATGTTGTTGGCCATTAACTACGAGCATTTATTTATAAATATATACAAGTAGGTACATTGTGTTGCACATATGTACATATGTACATACAAGTATATCCCGTAACTAAATATGTGCAGAGTCACGAACTCAAATGCCGGCCGGCAACTCAAACCAGATGATGTATTACAGCACAAACAATGACGGTCATTGTGTCACTCGCTTTTGTATTCTTAAGTACACTTGATTAATGCCGGGCAACAATACCTCACACAATACATACACATACATACATACAAGCCAGTCTCATTCAATTGACACAGACTGCCTTCTGGCCGGCATCTTTTTCAAATCTCAAAAATGTGCATGTGCTTGTGTTGTTCAACTCAAAAGGAATTCGTTTTTAAAGCAGGCAAAATAAAAGACAGCGAACCTCAAATTGCAAATGCTTGAAAGGGCAACACAGCTATTGCAAAAGTGTTGATTGCCCTTATTATAACTTAAAATTTGAAGAAAGCAGATTATTTTCACCAGTTTAATGCATACTTTACTATTATAAATATCTCATAATATGTTCTGCTGTGTCTATAAAAATAAATAACTCACCATTGAAGGTCGTATTAGACTCTTCACAGCTACTTACAATAAACTATTCTGACCTTTTAATTTATACCAGTTTTTCAAAGTTATGAACAGGCGATTAGATATAAATCAAACCGGATCAAATTATTGTTGGTGTTTACATCTAAATAAGGGATATCAGTGCTTATGAAAGAACCAGTTGATTTGCAGCTCACACAATAATTAAGATATCTTGGTATCTTGCTTCTCATTCATATTTAATTTCAACATTTAGTATTATTAGTCATTCTTAATTATTTTCAAATCTATTTCTACTTCAATAAAGATTCAAGAAGAAAAGGCTTCATTCCTTTCATTTTTTCTCACCTTCTCCACAACTGATCTAACAGTTCACGTGTACTTATAAAAAATATTAAGATTTGTGAGCTTTTTAAGGTACAAATACAGATGTTAGTCTCTAAGAGTGTAAGCAAAAAACAAGTAAAAATGCTAAAGTCGGGTGTCTCGACTTTGAAATACGTATATGTTTAGAATAATTATAGAAATTAAATAAATTGAGAAAATTAAAAAAAAAATTGATCGATTTTACCTCTTTTGGTATTCGAACTCACGTAAAGGGTGTATAATTGCACATTTACATAGCAATTGCGTCTATGTGAGTGTATGTATGTCAATGCGCGTGCAAGCATGTTTGCAGTCAACCAAAGCACCAGTAACTACAACAAATGCGGGCAGCGCTTGCATGGGAGAGGGGAGAGGGAGGGAAATTCCATTCCACATTTTCTGCGTATTCACATAAGGCATCTTGGACGTTAAATTTGATATCCCTAGGTCTTATAGTCTCCGATATATAGGCGATTATACGAACGGCGTTACGGAAAAACCCCCATAGGGGGGAAGTGGGGGGAAAATCAAAAAAATAAAACAAACTCGTATAGCATACACACATAAGGCATCTTTGTGCAAAATTTGGTGTCTCTATCTCTTATAGTCTCTGAGATCCAAGTGTTCATACGGACGGACAGACGGACAGACAGACAGGGCTAGATCGACTCGTCTTGGCATGCTGATCAAGAATATATATACTTTGTGGGGTCTGCCACGCCTCCTTCTGCCTGTTACATTTTCAGCTCCCGCAAACCTAATATACTTCTGTACATTTCCTGTACAGAGTATAACAAGGGGATATCCACTTGGCGAGCATACTCCTTTATACCAGCCTAATACTCTTCTTTATATAACTAAGGAATATTTTGTTGTGCAACATTTTTTAGCTTATACAATTTTATTATCTCTGAATTATGAGAAGATCCCAAGGGGGAAATTGGTGATGACAATATCATATTGGTAAAGTATGTTATTATTTGAAATAAACACGGATTATCTGTGGATATCAAAATTTTAAATGCTGGATTAATTTAATGCATTTAATATACGATCTAATCAGTCCCATCTGGACTCTGAACGAAATAAATAGGTAATAAATAAATAAAGAAAGTAACTCGATTGTCTCAAGCAGGAAATCAAATTCGTTTTGGGAGGTTTCACTGTAGCAATTTGTATATGGGTATTTAGCAACTCATAACATTAATCTGAACAAAATATTGCCCCATTATGCCAACGCCAACTGCCCCCCGATTTGCCCAGTTGTTCGTGTTTCCAGTCGGCGAGCCAACGTCGCGTGCATTTAATTCGAATTTAAAAGTCTGACAAATTCATAGATTATATGCGCAGATAATAAAGAAATAAATTGGCACAAACGGCACCAGCGAAAGAGAAAAAGTGAGCATTTGAAACACGTGTCGCTAAAAGCAGCCCAGCGGAATCGAACGGCCAGCGCAAAGAAAATAAAAGAGAAAAGGCCAAGGCACCGGACGGACGCTCACACTCGCATTCAAAGACATCGATAAACGCTTCGCACGCCAAAAAGTGGAGCGGGAAGCGGGGAGCGGGAAGCGGGAAGAGGTCGAGGCAGCGCTCGAAGCTTGCACGCGTGCGCGTGAGTTATGGGGCAGTGGCAGAAGAAACCGATTGTGGCGGGAATCGGCCATTGTGTGGCTGATGGTGCCAGCGCGTCTGCTGCGAGGACGAAGAACTGGCCGGCAGACCAGTTGTTGGGGCGGCACGATCGCTTGGCTAACAACAAGCAGGCCATTGCTTTGGGGTGAAACTTAAATGGCTATTAAGCCAAACTGCCGACAAGACAGCGACACCGATACCGACACCGACACCGAAGCCAGATCATCAAAATAAAACCGCTACATATAAAAATGCAAATGAATTTAGTAGAACCGGTTGCCATTTAAGTGGAAGAAGGCAGCTAAATAGCAGGGTTTAGCGCAAAGTGTGGCCGCCGCTTTACTAGCTAGGAGTACTTACTGACTAAGATTGGCGGGGTGGCTGAACCAGCTGTGGATTACAGAGTATCGACATAAAGCCGCGATGAGTGATCGATCAAGCAATCTAATGCTGATTAAATGGCATTTAGTAAGAAATAATAAAGGCAATTAAAATACTTTTTCCACAAACTCTTCAGCTCCCCATTCCCTCCTCTAGCCCCTCTGCCCTCTCCCTTCACCAACCCTCCCTCCACTAATCCACGGTACCAGCCTAGCTGTTTGGATTTAAAGCTGCCAGTCGGCTCAGATTTGAAATTCATTTGCATACTGGTCGAACGCTCTCGCATTTATGTAAAATCAAACAAGCTACAAAATTAGCGTTAAAAAAAGAATGGGTCATAAAACACAAAAAAAGCACACACACAACAAAACTCAAGCACATATCAAATTAGCATAAATTAAATTTTATTAATTTGTGAAACACTAATTTTCTTTTGAATCGAAAACGAGCCGGCAGCCGGGCCCAGACATTGTGGCGCGCCAACTCTTCTGCTTTTTTTTCTTATTTGCTTTTTACCTCTGAGGCTCGCACAGTCATCTTTCACCTTCGCCAACAAAACCAGAAAATACAGAAAAAACTTTTACAATTTAAGTGCGACGCTTCAAATTAAACTCCCACCACACACACACACACACACACACGCACGCACACTCACACAGACGTGCATGTGTGTGGGTAAGTATGCAAATATGTGTGCAATAAAAGGCCATTCTCTTGATTTATCATTGTCCGGCGGTCCATGCATATGTATGTACGAGTATGCTAAATTATTTTACATTTCTTTTGGCGAACGAGTGTGTTGGTCAATGGAGGCGATGTCGAGAAACCCATTTGGCTGATTGATGTCCGCGTTTTAAAGACTTGTTGTTGCCGTCATAAATACAAGTATGTATGTATGTATGTAGATATGGGTATGAGTCCGAACCAAATGATATTACGCGCATTTCCAATAAACGGAGAGCATAAATAAATATTCAATGCTGTAGCGCTGACTCACACCTTTGCCTTTAAGCTTTAAACTGGGCTAATGTGTTGCGCTGGCGTTCATAACTGTACCTCCCTGATTCATCGCAATTAATCAAAAACAGCTGAAGCGTGCTTATCAATCAGTGCAATAAATACACGTGCTCGTATATTGTGCCTTTTTCAATGTAACGGAAATAATTGGAAGCAGGCGCGCCGCCTATAATGAGTCATTGGTGGGGGGCTGCCACAGGACAGTGTATAGGATTCCATTCAGAAGATTACTCAAAACACTTGTTAGCACTTGCGATTAAATTTGGATATAATTTTAATATTTGTTATTCAAATTATAGCTTAAGCCAGTTTCTTCAACTAGCTAGCATGCCACACGCAAAACACACAAAAGAATTTGGGCCTTTAAAAGGATAAAATATTGTTTTATATGCGAAGCTCCTAGTATTCCATTCGCGAATAAAGTTTACATGATTTTAATTCCCTGATTAGCAAATGACAAATTAAATTATTATCCTTCGCTTAGAAACTAAACAAGTTTTCCCACAACTATGAAGTGATTTGAATTCATTACAACATTTTCGTTTACATCTTGAAGGGGTCAACTAAAATCTGAACAATCAAAAAGTAGATTTGAACTACTATTGCGAAATTGAAATCACTTTCAATAAAGAATATTTGCTCGTCAAGACCATGTTGGTAATACAAAAGGGGGGTTAACTAATATCTCAACAATCAAAAAGTAGATTTGGACTACTATTGCGAAATTGAAATCACTTTCAATAAAGAATATTTGCTTGTCAAGACCATGTTGGTAATACAAAAGGGGGGTTAACTAATATCTCAACAATCAAAAAGTAGATTTGGACTACTATTGCGAAATTGAAATCACTTTCAATAAAGAATATTTGCTTGTCAAGACCTTGTTGGTATTACAAAAGTGTTAGTTACGCATAAATCATAAAATATATATACAAGTAAATAGATTAGGGTGTGTTCGAGACGCGTTAAGAGGCCAAGCTATGCGTTGTTAATTGAATTCGGAATAGTTTCTAGCTCCCTCATTCAGCTGGCCCATTTAGTCTGATCTTGTTGGCTGCGCAACGCCCACTCGTCTTAGCAAAAGGGCCAGAACTGGTTGCTTTAATTAACTCACCTGCCCAACTTCTGACTTTCGGCAAGTAGTCGTTCCAGAACGAACATCGAGCCGCCAACGGACCGCGGGCCAGTTTCTCGATCTTGTCATCTGTGCTGAATATGTAATAGACTGGATCCTCCTTTGAAAAGTTCGGCCATTCCTCGCCATCTTGTGCGGGATTGCTGCAAAAAGCACAAGCAACAAATGGGTTAAGCTTTTTCACTTAGATTATGGCAGCTCGGTTGCTGCATTGGCTACAGGGGCCGCAGTTTATGGCAGCTTTTTGAGCTTTGCCTCGAAAGCTCTGTGCTCGGCTACTCACCCAGTCTTGGCAAACTCAATGACCGAGTTCAGCATTCGCTTTCCCAACTCACGCTCCACAGGTCGATACTGCAGGGATGTGTTCAGCGGCTGGCCAAAGAAATACTCAATCTCGTCGCCGTGCAAAACGCCCATCCACTCGCCCCACAACGAGGTGCTGGTGCGCTATAAAATGGGAAAAGAGAAGCGTATGCACGAGTACGTGAGACCTGTTTGCAGTGTTATCGTAAAGTCGGGCAGAAATTATGCAGATAAACATCTACCCTTTTTATTTATTTATTTCATTTTTTCTTCGTTTTTGTTTTTCTTCCTTTTTTCTTTTTTCTGTACAGAAGTGCGCGCGCGCTTTAAATTTTAAATATTGTCGCAGCATGCCGCGCCGCGCCAAAAGCAAATAAATAAATAAATGCCTGGTTGAAACACTTGGCTCTGCACCTTTCACATACCATCACATGAGTTGCAATTTTTTGTAGAACTCGTCCCTCTGTCAACTGTCAGGCTTTTCTAATAAAACAACAGACTGCCCCATTCGTCTCCGCGTTAAAATTTTGTATTACAATCGTCGCAGATCAGCCTTAGCAATTGGAAAAACTTACCTACGGATAAGTATTCTAAGGGAACGAAGCTCACGAAAGCATACTGGTCCATTATATTGCTAAACAAAATCGAACTTTTATCTTACTCCCTAAGGAAGCTGATTCAATTCTGCCTTTTGGGCAAGTCTGAAGATACAAAACATAGTTTGTCATGGGAACATTAGATTTACACTGGTTTTCCACTCACAAAAGCTTACACTAAAGAGCTCATCATAAAGTTGGGTTGGCATTTTTAAATAATGTCGTCATTATTTAAGTAAACGCCACTTGATTGTAAAAATAAACACCTCAAAAAAGATCAGCAGTTCTGAAGAATTGTATCAGGCTCGTTACAAGGATTGAGGACATTTCAAAGTTTCAATTCATCGAAAGAGACTTGAATCCCCTGTAGATAGTAGCTACTTGAGAATATATTTCACACCCAAATTGATTCCATTACTATATTTTAGATCACCCTTTTGGGGTTTAATATAATAAGCCCAGATTAGTTGCTTGGTTGTCAAACATTCAATTGAAATCAGGAGAACAAATAGCAAAGGAAAAGATTTGTTAAATAATTAAGGAAATCTTTAAAGCGAATTAGAACTGCAAAGAATACTAACTAATGCTCGTATTCAAATTCGTACTCATTTGTTTGCATATTTTGTGCCTTCGTGTTGGTTCTTCAGTCACGAAAAGGCAATAAAGTAGCTCTACTGGTTGTGAAATGCAATAACGATTTGTTTGGGCGTATATGTCTCTGATTGCGTTTTAGTTTTTTTCATTTTAAGCCGATTTCTCTGCAAAACAACTCATGTTTTTTCATTTCATTTCCTATGGTTTCGTGTGAAAGTTTCTATTTGAGATTGCGAATATATAGGCAAAAATGAACGTAAGAAACGATTTTCTCCACAAAAAAAAATTTGAAAAATATTAAAGATTGCCTCAGCAACCGAAGGAATCTTAAATTCTATGAAACTTAATTATTTTAAAACGCGCACAAAGATTTTCAAGAAATCTTTAAATAGTTATAACAAATGAAATGATTTTTAAAAAACTCTTCATTTATATTTTTGGTTACACAATTATTATTCGAAAGCAGCCATGCCAAGTTTTCGGAATCAATTATAATTTCTATTTTCTGTGTTAATTAAAAGAATTAAAATTTTTAAGCAGCTGAGCAAAAAGTGTAAATGTTTCTTAATGATGTCAGTAACTGATTGACAGCTTTAAATGTTAACTATCTGTTTCTGCACGGAATTCTATCCAAACCGTTTAAACTCAAGAAGAAAATACGTAATGGGAACATTAGCTGGGCGCAGATGCAAGCAGCACACATTTGTTGTCAATTAGTTTCAACTAAACCATCAAAACTAATTGGTAAACATATAGACATAATAATAATACGCAATATTTCATTAATGGGGAGCTTCAATGGGATAGTTTACTTCCTAGAAAAATACAGCAGTAGCTTCAAACTGGCCAGATAGCGCCGGGGCGAACAACAAAATAAAACTACGACAGTGGAGGAAGGAAGCGCCTGGCAGCCAAGTGGCTGCTTGTCCAGTCGTCCTGGCGTCCAGTCGTCCTGGCGTCCGCACGTTGCCAAGTCACATAATGAATAGTAGCCGGAACAAGCTAAGAGTAACGTTTCTGCCACTGCTGCCAAGTTGTTGAAAATTTATGCGCGTTTGCGTTGCTTTTGCTTCATATTTTTGCGCACAAACAGACACACAAACACACATATACATATATATACATAAACAGTAATATACAAGCACACAGATACAGAGAGAGAGAGTTAGAAAGAGGGAGGGAGAGATTGGTATTTGTGCGCCTTTTTTGCGTCTTACGCCTTTTCGCGCAAATAATGAAAAATTGTACGTGTAGCATGGAAAATAAAGTTTTTTGATTTAAGCGAAAAATTACAAACACCAAGAGTCTGTGTGTAGAGGCCGTAATGAAGGAGAAGAGGGGGCGCGGAATGGTGGCAACGCAGGAGACGACGACGACGACGACTACGATGTCGAGTCATGAAAAATATTATGAAATTATATGGCAAGTCGAGTTGAGTGGAGTATGAAAACTTATTTAAGTGCCAGGCACGTTGCACGCTGCAGTAGTCTGCCGAGCAGAGCCAAGCAATGACTTGTGTTGGCCTCTTGTCTGAGCAGCTCCGAAGGGGTCTAAGGGGATGGGCGGTCGTCTGCAGGGGCTGTCAACCATTGGCTATTATGTGCCGGGGCAACGCGCAGGCAGCCAAGCGTACAGCTCTTGGCCATCTTGGGTGTTGCCGTTGCTGTTGCTGTTGCTGTCAGGCAGCAGTGAGGCAAAGAGACAATCTGGCAGCCACTTTAGCAGGAGTGGACGATGCCAGTTGCCAGTTGCCAGTTTGGTTTGGCCGACGTCGACCCTGTTTTGTTTTGGTTCGACGCCTGGCCAAAAGTCGCCGACACCGACACCGACACCCATTGCCCCTTGACTCGTGTACGTCCATTCGAGAATGTATGTATGTATGTACAAGTATATTACTTGTTTATGGGCGCCGTAAGTTACGAGCTTGCCTTGCCCATTTCTTGGCTGTAATTAAAACTAATTTCATTTGCCTTCATTACCATTTTTGGCGCCAGGTTGCCTTCGGCTGAAGCCGTTGTTGTTATCTAACCATTGTCGTTTCTGATTATTAACAGTCGATTTGATTTTAACAATGCAACGCCCACACACACACACACACACATACTCTTCCACCTGTCCACGCTTGAACACTTTTCCACAGGCTGCCCGAGGCAATTGGTAACTGCCAACCACTACTCCTACGCCTGCTCCCCTGCTGTGTGCGAACCACAAACACACGCCCACAGCTCGAGCGTAGCAGGAAGCCTCTATAGACTCGTACGTACTCGTACACGCACTGTACTCGTTCGCTTATCGCCAGCTTGCCGGACGCTCTGTGTCCTGTCAAATGGAAAGAGCAGCAAATCAGCGTAGAGTGAATTAACAAGCGTTCCGTTCCGTTCAGTTCAGTTCAGTTCAGTTCGGGCCGTACAATGCCTGCGCCTAATCTTATCCATCGTCTTAATAGCAAAATCGTCGCATGCGACCAACGCACACATGTCTTATGCGTAATATTGATTTTTCAACAATGCTTCTACGGCGCTAAATTACCAGTCATCACGACTCAATATCTGCCCACCATTCTTAATTATAAGCATTTACAGAGACAAACCCCCAAAATCAATAGCTCCTCATAGATACACACATACATACTTGTACGAGTATATTTATTTCTCGGTGTGCCACACTGCGTATACTTAATGTAACACATTTGCCAATCATTAGCATTGAAGAGCACTAGAGCAGTGTTGGCTGCAACCAAAACGCAGTCGCAGCGGCAGTCATTTAAACAAATAACCAAGAAATTGTGCCCAGGACCTCGTTAATTGAAGTTTCATTAGTTGGTTAGTCCAGTTGGTGGGGACACAGGACTGGTCTGGAGTGGTGGCTAGGAGGGCCGGTCCTGGGCCAGGCATGGTCCGCCCGGTCTGCCTGGGCAGTCGAGGTTCAGGTGGTTGGGTGGCAGTGGGCCAGGTGGTGCGTGTGGTTTAATTGGCGCTGCGTGTGCCTCACTCGCTGCCCGAGTGTGTGTGTGTGTGTGTGCGTATATGTGTGTGTCTCAGTGGGTGTGTATTACGTGAAACTTTCGGTTACCATAATTATGGCGGCCAAGGTTATTTGGCACAAGTTGATTTGTTTGACGCCACAACTGGCGTTCGCCTTCATCCTTATACATACATACACACATATATATATACGTATATGGTCGCTTTTATGACTATATGTCGGCGTGACATTTGGAAGTCTAATAAAATGAGCTCAAGAGCGAGACAGAGACAAAGACAGAGAAAGAAACAGACATGGGATACGGTTGTTTGCGCAAATTGGTTAATTTTGCACAATATCTAGCTATATATTAGTGAACAGGAACAGCAGCGCATTATTTCGTGCAGTTCAGTGAAACAAGGAAAATAGGAGTATAGTAATAAACGGATGTCATATAAGTTTAATCGAAAAGATTAACTAATTTTTTCAAATTTAAGAGAAAAAAGAATGTAAATAATATTTTGTTGGCAACAAGCTTCTTAAGCGTTGTTAACTATTTCAGTAAGCCTTTGCAGCTCTATAATTGAATGCCGCTATTATCATTTATTATCTCCTAGAGCGGTTTTGTTTGGTCCTGAGTTGTTTAAGTTAAATCCAATACGTACTGAATACAGTTAAGGATCAAAGTAAACGGAAGATGATGCCTTTAAAGGCACTACTTGATCCAAAGACGGAGCGTTTTGCTACACAATCAGGCAATAACTATTGTTAAAGAAGGAAATATTGTAAACCAAAAGAGATGAAAGTATCTAAAGTAAAAGTATAAATACTTCTTCTCACTAACCATTGGCACTAAGGTCGCCGACGTGAATTTTTTTAAATGTGTTCAGTTTTTAAAATCGAGACAGTTCCAATTCACAATTCAGTCGATTTCAAATACCAGAAATAACAGCAATCATTTGAATTTCAAACAATTAGTTGTTCGTTAAAATATTACATACCAGACCCCTTGTTGGCCCTCATCGCAAGTACCTTTTGAATCAATTCTGACTGCTTTCTCATTTTCCAAGTTCAAAACTAATCGAAATAAATGCTTCTTGAGATTTAAAAATTATAAAAAGGGTTCTAGTCTGTTTTTTGATGGCGATTATGTACAAGTATGTCGCAACAACTGACAGCTGTAGCTAGACATACTGCTAGATATACTGATCCCCTCCTTCCCCCTTTTCCGCATTCAACGTGCAGTTGCTGGGCTCTTTCTCTAGATTAGCCGCAAGCCGTGCTATTCTCAGTTGCCTTTACATAAGCTCCCCATCTGTCGTCCAGTTGGACTGCCCGTGCCCGTGCCAGTGTTTGTGCGCTCCTCCCGCATGCATTATTAATTAGCTCGGGCAAATAAAGTACATGGGCTCTTCGACTCGTCGGCTGGGCTGGGCTGGGCTGAGCAGAGCTGGACACGCACGGCATTAGCCTTGTGTGCAATTTTAATGACAAACAAATTGCAGTTGGCCGTGTCCGCTTCTCTTCTTTTTTGCGCCTCCACTTCCACTCAATTGGCCAGCAGTGCCCGCCATCTTAAGTGTCAAAGGCTGTGAAATATTTAACGATTTCCACGCAGTGCCCCAGTTCCTACCCTCCTCCTCCACCCCCACCATTCATCCCCCTCATATGGTACTCACGTGTGTAAAGTAGTAGTAGTGCACGGAGGCGCCTCGCTCGGCCAATGCCTGTGCATACTCGTTGGTGGGGCAGGTGAAGAAATGATCGCCAACGGCGCGTCCAATTTGCTGTTGATTCTGATAGCCCGGGTTGCCCTCCCAGCTGGTGTACTGCAAATATAAAATTGGACGATGCACGAATTAAATAATTTGTTTATATTACTGGTCTATTAAGCTAACCACGCATCTAATTGCAAATCGATGGTGGCGCAGCATTAAAGCAAACCGCAGGCAGCTATCTGCGGCTACGCATTTGTTATACCAAACTGCATTAAATTAGTACGCAGTGCTGCGCGGACTAAATTAAATTGCCTCGGGCGCGACAAACTAAACGAATAAACCTGCTGAATGCAATTTAATCAGTGCAACGGCTAACTAAATCAAACGTGCCACCTCCGGTAGCAGCCAACAGTGGCTGGTGACTTCAACTAGTTTGCTCAAACTGGAGAGGAGATATGGAATGGCAATAACCTATAAAGAAAGATTCGGAATATAATCTATCTTAGAGAGATAATTTATCCTGATTAGCTCTGCAATCACACATTTAAATTGTATAACGATTTTATCTCTTTGCATGAGTTTACAATAGTTTGGTTGGCATAAATCAGAAACAGAAAGCTGCTGGAACGTGTTCTATAATGTTATATTCAATCATAGGAAATTGAAAATTGTTTATTTATTTAGTCAACAAACATTGACTGTCGACATAGGAAATATATAAAAGTTATAAAAAGCATCTTATAAGCTAGAAAAGCCTAAGAAGGAGAAATCTAATCAAATTACAATAATATCTAATTAACGCCTCCGATCCGGTGGGGGAATATTATTTGCCCTTCGGCTAGCTGCAACTGACAGCCTTTCTAAGGGACAGGAAATAACTTAGGAGTATATTCTGTTTTCGGCTTTGACTTCTTGAATGCACAACAAGCGATATATATGTTTCTATAATATAATAAAGTAAGCACTGCGAAATCTGTAATATCTATTCAATCGTTTTTAAAAGCTGCTACGTTATATTTTTTCCACTTCATTGCATTTCAAGTAAATTGGATTATGAATGGGATATATGTATATTTTTCAGAGAGTTATTTCTACATAGGTTGATCGATGTATGTTCTGTGACTTGAAGATGAACGGCAATCGGTTTTTCTGCAGACGTCAGAAGTGCATTTTAAATGTATCTCGATTCGAAACAATGACACCACTGTACCGACATGCTGCTGTCACCAGCAACACCAACGCTGTTGCCGTAATTCGAATTAGGTAAGCATCCAAAGGATGCAACCGCAACAACACATGCAACGAACCGTTCCAGAATGCACTGCGGTTAACAAGCTTGTCATTTTCCGACAAGCGGTTCCACAACTTCAGCTCCAGTGCAACGATGACGCACTGCCAGCCCAAGCCAGAGCAACGCTGGTGTCAGATGCAGATACCGTCAGTTGAGCTGACGTGGTTGCTGAACTCAAATCAGAATTTAAATATAAACCAAAGCGGCAGAATGTACCTGAAATATGATGGCCTCGCGCTCCGCTTGCGTTGCCTTGCCGAATATGTTGTTCATGATTTCCAGGTATTTGTCGCGCGGCAATGCGGTGGCATCGTCCTTATCGAAGTAATCGATGAAATCGTACAGCAAGAAGTACGTTCCTGCAAGGATAAAGAGAAAAAGAGAGAGTGTGTGTGTCAGAAAGGGAGAGTAAGTGAAATGGAGAGCACAGATTTAATGCTGTAAATTGAAATAGACAGGAATATTTTAAATTTACTTAAATCCTAGACCTATCTCTCTCTGTGTGTGTGTGCGTGCTTGTGTTTGTGTGGGCTTAGACAACGAGGTCACTGCCGCAAAGCGCGGAAAATAACCGCAACAGCAGCAACAAATCGCGAACAATGGCGCTCGGTTGATGATGAATCGTCGCCGAGGTGGATGATGTGGAGGCAGTGTGGCCGGAGGAGCAGCAAATCCTAAAAACAATTACCACTACAAAAAAAATAAAAGCAAAAACAAGACAAGAGCGGCGCTGCAAGATGCCAGTCACAATGCTCGTGCCAAGGACAAGCTTAGCATTAACCCCAACAACAAGCGCACAAGAAAAGGGTAGAACACAAAAACAAAAAAAAAAAGAAATGCTTGTGTACACAAATCAACAACAACAGCAGCAATAGCAACAACAATGATGGCGACGAGTGAAGAGAACAAAACAAAGCGCTCGTTGCCTTTTATTAACTTAATTTTTATGGCACTTGTTGTTGTTGCTGCTGTTATTGTTGTTTCTGTTGCTGTAGTTGTACTTCTTGTTGTTTTAGCTAGCTTTGTCTCTTACACACACGCACACACACACACACACGCACACACACACACTGCAACACTTCAAATACGAGCCCACTAACGAACCATAATTGCTGCCTATGAACGGTGACAACGAAGGCAACAACAACACCAGCCTACATGTGTGGCAAGCAAGCATTGAAAAAGGCACGTGCCACAAGCAAGTGTTGCCAGTAACCATTGTCAAAGCAGCACATACAAACAAACCCACCCACCCACACACGCACACACACAAAACGACGCGTTTGGGCCTTTGGGCCCACACACAACAAAGCAAAAATACACGGACAATTGACAATACCTATACATACATATGTGTATGTGTGCGGCATAGCAATGGCATTTAAAAACTGTTATCTGTACTAGTGTACAGAAATTATAAAGAAAATCTATCCTATTCGTTAACTGACCACTCAATAAAAGCCATTCATCATAAAAGGCATCCATTCAATAAAAGGCCTTTAAATAAATTCACTTTTCTCTTCACTTATCATTTCTCAGCATATCGATGCTAAAACCATCATATCCTATCGTCAGCTTATAATGCTTCGTAAAGTATATTCGCTCCTTAGCTTAGATAATACATACATTAAATAAGTAGCAGTGAATAAGTATTAAAGAAAGTATTTCGATTCCATTTTTAAAGGCTTTAACATGTACTTTTAAACATCTGCAGGTTTCCAAATTATCTTTCAACTGCGACTGCTTTAAGCCTTCAACGTTGACTCGGGCGCCAATTATTTATTTGGCTTGCCTTAGTATAGTGCTCCGTTCTGTCCTTTACGCAATTTAGCTAAGCTGGGGAAATTATGCCAGGCCAGGAATTGTAGAAACCACATCAAAAGCAGTTTGGTAAATTTATTAACTTGTTGAAAATCGCATTTAATTGAATTGCACACCACACACCACACGCCAAACAGCCCACAATGAACAACAGCCAACAGCACCACAAAAACACACACACACACACAATCAGACGCCGCACAATTCTAAGTTTTTCTTTGTTGTTGCTGCGCCTGTTGTTTTATACTGTTGTTGCTGGCGTTGCGTGGCGCAAACAATGTAAATACGCTTCTAATGAGTGTATAATTGAGTTAGCACACATTTTACAAGTGAACACAAAGCAGCGACAGCAGCCAAAAGCAGCAAGCCTCGTCGCTGTTGCTGTTGCTATTACTGTTGTTCTTGTTCTTGTTATTTCCAATTCTTGAGGTAGCTGTGCACGCACACACACATACACACACACACACACTCACATGCGGATCATGGCAGAACGCTATGCCCGTTACAGTTTTCGTTGCCTTGACTGCCAAAGGCGCCGCCACCAACGAGGACCGACCGCGCAGCATTTAAACGAAAACCAATTAACGTGCAAACAAACACACAATGTCCGCATAGCCGTTAAATAAATTATTCAAAAATGAAACGGAACGCAATGAAATGAATGAAAAGTGCAACAACAACAACAACAAGAAGAAACGCGAAATTGTACAGAATGTAAGAGCTGAAATTTCTACAGCATACTTTTAGGCGGCAACTTGAAAATCGTTCAAGCATAATACTTATTTGGCATACGCGCACAAAACTGTCAGCCTTTAATAGACAATAAATAGCATAAACTAAGCGAAGCCTGCGGCAACTATTATTATGAGTATATTTTTAATTCAATATTTTTATTCTTTCTTGAAATCTTTTAATTATTTTGACCGCCAAACCTATTTATGTCTTTCTCTAAAAATCTGAATTCATACAACAACATCACCAATCAATGAATACCTAATAAATAATATTTTTGTCCTGATCAAACTCTTTGGCATCTTAAATGCTTATGAGCTGTGGAATGAATGGGGACTTATTTTTATTTCTCATAATTTCGTTCTTCATTTAGTGAGGAGTATGAAATACATTGGAAGTTGTTAAGTTGATTTTAGCTCTGAATAGTCTCTCACTAATGAAAAGACTGTTATTTCTTATGCTTCTTTAATAGATAAAACACATTTACCTTTAGCAAAAACGGCAGATAGAGGCTAGTAACCAACCTTAAACAGATCAGGTTTTAACCGTAAGCAACATTTTCGACTTAATATAGCCATTCGCTTAAAAACGAAAGTGGCTACCGTTTGCTTAAAGCTTTAGCCTTAGGTTACCTTTCTAAAGTCATTTAACTGTTATTCAATGTATGTCACCAAAACCAATAGCTTTAAAGAGTTCAGTAGCTCGATGCGAGCTCCTTTTTTGAAGGAACAAGAGCATGGAACTAGAATTGTGCATTGTAGTAGAGCCTATCTAGTTTTGTTGTAAATTATAAAGCCACACTATATACACTACCTTATAACTTGTAGTCTAGTTTATGAATTTTTTTTATATAAACCGGCATGTGACAACAAAAAATAAATAAAATGTATGCTAAAGTAAAATATCAGAAATGGAAAGGCAAGACGCTGCCGTTTGCTGGTATTGTGGGTCCGGTGTTTGTGTATTGGTATCGTTGAAAATGGTAGATGACCTTGAACTCACACACCAACATCAACTGCAGAAGCCGCTACACATGCAAACGCTTACATGCGAGTCGTCGGTGTCGAAGTCGACGTCGACGGCAGCGTCGGCGTCGGCGTCACTACCGCTGTCGCACGCACACCTCTCAGCTGAGAGCAGAGGCAGTTGGCAGCGAACGTTGAAAACGCGAAAATAAGCAGAGTGTAGAAGCAATGGCTTGGGCTGAGCACCGACGTTGGCTAAATGTACGGTTACAACAACAAATACAAAAGAGAGAGCTAAAGCGACAGCAAAGTGAAAGTGAGCAGAAAGCACACGTGTCTGCGTCGACAGCGAATACTGCTGCTGCTCCTGCTTGGGAATATGAAGGTAATGGCAAGGGCTACCAACAACAACAACAGAAGAAGCAGCAACAGCAATAACAGCAACAACAATAATACGCAGTAGTAACAAAAACGAAGCGAAGCGAAGAAAAAGCACAAAGCGCATGAGAACAAGCCAGAGTTCGGCGAACATTCTGTTATACTCGTACAAAAACAAAACCAACACACACACACTAATATATATGAAATACTCTGAAGAGTGCGCGAGAGGAAACTCGTAGTAAGTGCCATGACAGACACAATGCACAAGAAGTTACGCATTGAAAAGGAAAACAACAATGAGACTCAGAAAATTGTGATAAATTTTGACAGAGCAAATAGTTGTAAGAAATGTGTGTGCATAAGAAATTTGAATTAATAAATACATTTACGGTGTTTATAGGAATTTCACGTTTACTTTTCAAACTTAGCATACTTTTCAGCGCATGGACATGGGCCGCTTGCACTTCCTTGATCAGCTCCTAAGCTGTGTTGTTACCACCACCACCACCGCCGCCACCGTTACTTAGCACTATTTATGACGCGGCACGTGTGCCACTCACCGTCCCGCGCCACCTACGCCTCCCACTATCGGCACCTGAGCAAAATATTTAAATAATTTATGAGGCCGCCGTGCACAGCTGAGCAGCAGAAATGCGGCCGCACTGAGCCAAGCACTGGCATTGCCCTGCGCTCCATGTGTCAGTTGCCTTTGGTCGATGTTGTCGACATCGGCGTCGCCGTTGCCGTCGCCGTCACCGTTGCCGTCGCTGTCATTTGCCGCCGCGCCGTTTTGCGTGGGCGCGTCTGGCAAGTTTCTGCGGCTCATGCCCCGCGGACTGTGCCACACCGTGGAAGCCGTCGGCGTGCCTTTTTCTATTTTCTTATTACCGCCGTTGACACATTTATTTTTTTCCAATTTTGTTTCTATTCCGCGACGCTTTAAGCTGGCTTTCGGGCAATGCCAACACATTGCGTAATTTCAAGCAGCCAACAGAATAAATGCAAAAAATATGCCAAGTAATCAACATGCTTTGGCCATTGGAAAAGCCAAAGCCAAAACCACAAAGCCATCCAGACTGGCCATCATAAACATACACATACATCTATACTTGTTACTAGAAGTGCATGTTTGTTTGGCAGAAAGAACCAAAAAAATAAAGTAACGACAGCGTCAACAACAACTGCAATGCACAAGGCAGAGAAAATGTGGCACAAACGAAAATAGATGACAATGTATGTGCTTTGCTCTTAAGCCAGCCAGCAGCCAGGCAGCCAACATGCCCTCTCCGTCCTCGCCATTCCCACCGACAATAAACCATAAAAATTAAGCACTCGAAGCGCATAGCAAGCAAAAGTACACAATGCATTATGTAGACTAGCATGTACAAACGAAACTGCATTTCAGAGAAATAAATAAATACGAAGAAAAGGCAGCTTAACCACAACTGCCAAGCCACGCCCACGAACCCAAAGTGTCGTGCCTTACACAAATAAATGAACAGAACATTTCCGAGTCATTTTTATGGAAGACAACAATTCCAGCTTCAAAATCTGCAAAAATCTCAAATAATGCCAAATCAAATGGGAAACATATTTAAAAAAAAAACAAGTAAAAAAGCTAAAGTCGGGTGTCCCGACTTTGAAATACTCTGTACATATGTTTACAATAATTATAAAAAATAAAAAAAAAAATAAATAAAAAAAAAAATTGGATCGATTTTACCTCTCTCGGTATTCGAACTCACGTAAAGGGTGTATAATTGCACATTTACATAGCAATTGCGTCTGTGTGAGTGTATGTATGCCTATGCGCATCAATTCGTGTCTGTGTAAGCATTTTCGCAGTCAACCAAACAGCAACATCAACAACAGCCGCGGGCAGCGCTGCAGCAGCGCTGCAGCAGCAAATATATTTATGGCTATAACTTCTTGGTAAATCGGTCTATCATAGTGAAACTTGGCATACGGACACATAATTACTAACTGGGGGTATTTACAAAATTTTAGTTCGAAATTCCAAGAATTACGGGAGTTAGAGAAAATCGCATTTGCGGGGGAGAGGGGGGAGGGAGGGAAATTCCAAAATATACATTTTCTGCGTATTCACACAAGGCATCTTGGACTAAAATTTGGTGTGCCTAGGTCTTATAGTCTCCGAGATATAGGCGATTATACGAATGGAAAATCGGGAAAACCCCCATAGGGGGGAAGTGGGGGAAAATCAAAAAAATAAAACAAACTCGTATAGAATATACACATAACGCATCTTCGTGCAAAATTTGGTGTCTCTATCTCTTATAGTCTCTGAGATCCAGGTGTTCATACGGACGGACAGACGGACAGACGGACAGACGGACAGACGGACAGACAGACAGACAGGGCTAGATCGACTCGTCTTGTCACGCTGATCAATAATATATATACTTTGTGGGGTCTGCCACGCCTCCTTCTGCCTGTTACATTTTTCAGCTCCCGCAAACCTAATATACTCTTGTACATTTCATGTACAGAGTATAAAAACAAAACAAAACCGTTTAAAAAAAAACAAATACTATATGTCATCGGTTAAGATGGGACGGCATTAATAAGCTCCCAAGGATTTGCGTAGCAAGCAAGTGTAAAAAGTGTAAAATAAAACAGAATTTTCCTTATGATACAAAAAAAAAAAGAACAATGCATAACATATTTAAACTTATAATATCGCTGCCAACTACAATACCTTGAAACAGCTTCAGCAAATGTACCTTTCGTCACTCAAATGGTATATAAATAAATTGCAAAAACTACTATAATTCAGAATAATGATTATATTATGTTTAAAACTATAAACTTCACGGCTTACAAATATTTTGGAGTGCTGCAGAAATGAAAAAAATATTGAGCCTTACTTTGTCTGAATGGGTCAGTTGATGGCATTTAAGTTTACAGATTAGTTAATGCAAGTAGTAGTGTCGGTTCTATTGCAAATTTAAACGTGAATGTGATTTTTCTCCGAGTTGTTTTCAAGTTATCACACTGTGTGAAGTACTCGTGTAGTGAGTTGTTTGGGGGTAGTGGCGGGTGCACAGTAAATGCGAAGTGCCCCATAAAACGACAACAATGAAATGCATTTCGTCTGCTAACAAAACCGAAAAAACGAAACGAAATAGTTGCAAAAAGTAATAAAATGGCAAATGGATAAAGCTCTGGCTGCAACAAAAGTTGCTTGTACTCGTACGAAATGAGGACGGGACAGGAGGACTTTGTGTACGAGTATGAGGCAAACAACATGGCTGCAGCTATTTTTGGACGAGTTTAGTGGCAACACAAATTTGGAACACTGCTGACGTCAGCAGCAGCACAGCAACGAAAGACTGCAACAATAGCGTGGATGCAGCAGCAGAGAGAAGAGTGCCAATGGATGGCCCAGAGGCGGCGCCATTGTCAGTGTAATGAAAATAATTTTAAATGATAAACTACTCTCCAAACTACAAAAGCACCGCTGCGAAAATCATCGTAATTAAAATTTAATTTATAAATAGCTACGAAGCTATCTTTGTCCACGCCAAAGCTATTTACTCTTCTCTGGGGCTCACAACAAGCCCATTATTTCTCTATTATCATGAGCCACCAACTGTATGCCCTACTGGGTCCACACCATCTTCTTTTTCATTGGATTTTTCATTTACATCTGGTTTTTCTTTCGCCAGCCCAAGAGTAAAGATGCCATGTATGAGTTCAGCATTATTAGTTCCAATATTATTTTCTTCGGCAACTGTATGGTGTGCTGATCTGAATTGTTTGCGAGAATTACTGATTTGAAACAGTTTACCAGACAGACGAACATTGATTTCATTTCGTCTTTCCAGGCCTATTCGTTTTAACATATCTCGACTATTTGCACTCACCTTCATCTCTGACATTTCCCATCATTATATCATAATCCCTGAGATCGGCCTTTTTCATCAGAGACATTGGATCTTCGGGCAGAAAAGCGCCATCGATGGTCGGCGCCGATGGAAAACTGAGAATGCCTGAATACGAGTTCCACTGCTGCACGGATATTGTTTTGGCATCTACAGCACGCATGCAGTTCATAACATCGGAAGGATTACTCTGCAAAGTGACAAGCAATTAAAAACCATTGATTACATTAATAGAAAAATTTGGTTATTCAGGAGAAAAATTACCTGACCCGTCCTTTAAATAGGAAGAGTAATATATCTACTTGGTACATAACAAACACGTTCCATAGAATGAATTAACAAACCACATTTAGCAAAAAAATGCTAGTCAAGAAGTTAAAAAACTAGTCGTCATGGGATCAACACATATATTGTGCGTCTAATCTGAATTCAATTATTAAAGAAGATAAATAATTCAAAAATGAATAAAAAAAAAATGTAGTGAACAATAGCCCCGCTGAAATCGGACGTGGCAGAATTTGTCGGCAGTGATTGTGAAATAATTTTTAATTCCGGATATGTTGTATACTCGTTCCGCTTATTTATTGCTATGCTTACCTTTAGCATAGAGGCATTACAGTTGCAATCATTGATCAGAGCCTTGCCAATTTCCACTGCTTTCTCCGATGTCATGTGGCTCCAAGGAGCATTCATGGTGCCCGATTGCATCATGCCGCGCTTAACCACTCCCCGTGTGACCGGCGACATAAGCTGTGCGTTCACGGAGCTGGAGCCAGCGGACTCCCCGAAGAGAGTCATCCATTCGGGATTGCCGCCAAATGCGTGTGCATTGTCCTTGATCCAGCGTATGGCCAATGCTTGATCCCACAGACCGACATTGCCGGGCGCTTCTTCGGCGAATTCGGGTGGCATTTCCGGTGCCAAATGCAGGAAACCAAAAGCCCCCACGCGATACTGAAACGAGGCCACAATCACGTTGCCCACCGCCGACATAATGTCAGCATTGTAAATCTCCAGAGTGGCCGAGCCGGTCATGAATCCGCCGCCATAGACCCAAATGAGTATGGGTAGCCCATTGGTGGTGTTCTGCGGATTGCCATTGTGTATGAGATGCTCTGTATCCGCCTGCTTGTTACCCGCGTGCTGAGGAGTATACGGATATCAGCAGTTAGCCCCAAAGTAATCCCAACCGGCACTCACCTCGCCACCATTGGCGCCCCGTCCATGCCGAAGTCGCGCCTTGGCCGGCGCCCAAATATTTATGTAGAGGCAGTCTTCGGATACATTCGTATTGGGATTCCAAATCTCTTCACCCGAGAAGCCCGGGAAGTATTCATATCTGTTACGGAATGGAATCGCATTTTAGTTTAGTTGATAAATAGGCGCACATGCAAATCAAAGTGCCCCCCGTCGCAGCAAATCTTTCGAGCCCATCACTGAACTGTTGCCGTGCCAATTACGAGTAACCAACCAGCTGTGTTATTTATTTCTATTTGCGCTCTTCCGTTTTGCTTGCTTTACTTTCACTTTACCGTTTTCCGCAAACACACACACACAGACACTCATTTATGCATACGTAGCTATGCTTTGTTTGCTCTGCTCTGCTCTGCCCAGCCTACGATTTGACATACATATGTAGTTTGCTGCTGTATAAATGTTGAATCGCTGGAATCGATAGAACTACGCATTCATCGCAAGCAGCAACCTAAGTGTACGAGTACGTGTGACTTTGTGTTCGCCATGTGTGTGTGTGTGTGTGTGTGTGTGTGCTTGGTCTCGTGTCCATTAAAATTAACTTTGCCGTTTCACATAAAAGTAATTTATCACAAACGGGAAAAGGCGCTTTTCCTGTATGTGTCAACCTATCCCGCCCCTTTCCCCCTCTTCTCCTGCATGCATTCGCCATATATCCTTCACCTTCACTCTGCCACTTGGATAATTTTCTATGTTAACTTTGTGCGCTTGGACTGGCAAAGAAGCCACAGCTCCAGTACCCTTCAGTTATATTTTTCTAATTCTCGATTCGAGCTAATAGCTTCATTACAAAGCTCTACAATCTATTACCAACTAATAAGCGAATGCATTTCATTCTTTATTTTAAAGAGTTGGCGTTCCAAACGAAATCGTAATTAGTCGCCAACTGCTTAAAGATGATAACTTTGTATAGTAACTAAGTAACCTTCACAAAATTAATGTAGAACTCTGTGCAACCAAATATTCGGAACTGTATACGAATTTAAAAATTGCTCTACATTTTATTTTTAAATAATTCTATAGGTTTTAAAAAGTACATTTGCAAGAAGTGTTACTTCTCTTTCATTAAAAAATACAAGTATAAGTAAAAAAGCTTAAGATTTCAATAAATCATTTTTTAATTTAGAATATATTTTGTTATTATTTATTATAAGATCGGTTCGACAAAAATCTGTTGTGAAAAAATCTATCCTTCAAAATAGTCCTCAATTGAGAAATGTATCTACGTTTAAAGGCCTTTTTATCCAAAAATAATATTTATAAAATAGATGTTAATTTCTTGTATTTATATGTATTTAAATAATTCCCCATCATCGTTCTATTGTAAGGCCTGGTTATGTAACTTTAATAAATAATTCAAACGACCCTGATAAAAATAATTTGTGATATTTATACTCTGTACATGAAATGTACAGAAGTATATTAGGTTTGCGGGAGCTGAAAAATGTAACAGGCAGAAGGAGGCGTGGCAGACCCCACAAAGTATATATATTCTTGATCAGCATGACGAGACGAGTCGATCTAGCCCTGTCTGTCTGTCTGTCCGTCTGTCCGTCTGTCCGTCCGTATGAACACCTGGATCTCAGAGACTATAAGAGATAGAGACACCAAATTTTGCACGAAGATGCGTTATGTGTGTATTCTATACGAGTTTGTTTTATTTTTTTGATTTTCCCCCCCACTTCCCCCCTATGGGGGTTTTCCCGATTTTCCATTCGTATAATCGCCTATATCTCGGAGACTATAAGACCTAGGAACACCAAATTTTAGTCCCAGATGCCTTATGTGAATACGCAGAAAATGTATATTTTGGAATTCCCCTCCCTCCCCCCTCTACCCCGCAAATCGTAACTCCCGTAATTCTTGGAATTTCGAACTAAAATTTTGGAAATACCCCCAGTTGGTTATTATGTGTCCGTATGCCAAATTTCATTATGATAGACCGATTTAACAAGAAGTTATAGCCATAAATATATTTGCTGATGCAGCGCTGCTGCAGCGCTGCTCAAGCGCTGCCCGCGGCTGTTGTTGATGTTGCTGTTTGGTTGACTGCGAAAATGCTTACACAGACACGAATTGATGCGCATAGGCATACATACACTCACACAGACGCAATTGCTATGTAAATGTGCAATTATACACCCTTTACGTGAGTTCGAATACCGAGAGAGGTAAAATCGATCAAATTTTTTTTTTATTTTCTATAATTATTGTAAACATATGTACAGAGTATTTCAAAGTCGGGACACCCGACTTTAGCTTTTTTACTTGTTTTGTTTTAGAATTCAGCTGCATTCCAAGACAAAACAAATCAATTGATTACCGTGGGGTGTCTTGGAAAGGCTCGAAACCAATTAATGGCTTTTAATAATTTAATGGATATGTCCCTCCCTCCTCTACACACCTTACATATGAGTAATCGACAAAGGCTGTAATTAAGTGTGGGATTTTAAAATACAAATATCTACACGGCGTATGCGTAATATGCATTTTCAGCTTTCGTTTTCCATTCACAGCGGCTCATTTGAATATCCTATCGTTCTTCCAGTGCGTGTGTGTGTGTGTGTGTACGAGCATTTGTTTTTGTACGTATTGTTGTGCAATTGCCCGGCATTTGTTTTGTTTCTGGCCCTGACGTCACTATCAACTGTTAGGTCAACAGCAGCTGCAGCCGGGGATATTTTGTAGGTCAGCTGCCACCTCCTGACCCCGGCTTCGGCCCACACCCGCAACTGCACCCGCACCCCGCTGTACTCACCGTTCTTGTACGCATGTGGCCGACAGCCGCGTGGCATCCAAAACACCGTGCCAGGGCTCCGCCGGCACCGGCTTGCGAAAGCGCAAATCATCGAGGGGCGGCTTGGCATAAGGTATGCCCGTATAGACGTGCACCTCGCGGCCCTGCACCGTCGCCGAGCGGCCGCGTACCGGCCCGGATGACGTCTGCACTACTAAACGATCGATGACGCCGCAGACGCAGGACAGTCGCAGCAAAAGCACGAGCAGTGCGGCATAAAGCGGCAAGCTACCGCCGTTGCACTGTGCGCTAATTGAAGCCATGCCGATGACGCTGATGCTGATGCTGAGCGGAAGCTGGCGATGGGACGATGGGGCGAACGAGGGCGCGTGCAATGCGTGGGCTAACGAATGTGGCTAACGGCGCTTTTTAGCCAACTGTCCTATTTAACAGAGACGTGGCACGACGCGACGCGAGGCAAGGCGAGGCGAGGCGTTACGAAGCGACGCGACTCTCAGTCGGCTTGGCTTGCCTTGTCCTGTCTTGGCCTGGCCTGGCCTGGCTTGCACTTTGCCGTGGGCTTGGGATTGGGCAACGGATTCTGATTCTGGTTCTGGTTCTGTCTTCACATGCAAATTTGCGACTATTGTTCGACCTCGACGCTTTCGCAACGTTATTCTTCGAGCTGCATGCCACACGCGCTCCCCTCGCGTCCTTCTGCTCAGCTCGCTTCTTAGCTCTCTGTGCTTTCGTTAATGTTGTTGTTGTTGCTGTTGCTGTTGTTGTTGTTGGATCTTTCACTTCTGTTACTACTGTTGCTGGCTGTTGTTGTTTCTGCTGCTTCTGCTGCTCCTACTGGCTTTTATGCCTATTATCCGGTTGTGTTTGTAACTGCTGCTGCCGCTGTAAGCTGTCGTGTATACTCTGCACTACTCATGCTTTCAATTCGTTGTATGTATGTAAGTATAAGTGTGTGTGTATGTGTGTGAGTGTGCGTGTATATATATAAATATATTAGTCCTCCCCTGCAGACACTACCGCCACCACTTGGCCTCTGTCCTGGCTTTGGCTTTTGTTTTAGTTTTCCGCAGCTGTTGCACTTTCGCAGCGTTTCCTGTGCGCTTCCGTCTGCTGCACCGCACTTGCCTCTCTCTCGCTCTCTCTCGCTCTCTCTCTCTCTCTCTCTCTCTCGCTTACTTAGACGGCCACCCTTTTGCGCTCTCGCTCTGTCTTTTGTGTGTGTTTACTTCTTTGTTTGGCGTTGTGCTTGAGGCCGCTGCTTCTGCTTCTGCTTCCTGCTGCGCCTACGACAGCGCTGCTGCCTTTTGTTTGAACTGCAAATAGAAAAGGCATTAAGTTATTTATCTTAGTTTCCTTGCTGCTGTTTAGTTTGGCTTTTGACTTGTTGTCTTGTTTAAATTTTTATTTTTTGTTTGTGTGTGTGTAGGTTTCGCCGCAAGTCTACTTGGCTTGGCTGCCCCCATTAGTATGCTACAAAATTTGTTACGCTGCAAGCGCGCGTGTATTTAGTTTTGTGTGTGTGTGTGTGTTGGTTGCATGTTTACCACTTGAACAAAAAGAAAATTTGAAGCTGCTTCCCCTTCAATTCTAACTTTGCATGCAGCACGTCTCAAGTGGTGCCCAGCACATAACACATAACACACACACACATTCACAGTCACACTAACACTCGCCTGCACACACACACACACTCGCATATTCCATTGAAGTAGTCCGTATCATTTTCTATGGCTGCTCTGTCAGTCTGTCTGTTTATCTGCTTTTCAGCTGGTCCTTTTCTCCTCTCCACCCCACAACATCGTTAAAAATATATCACATTTCTTGTCATTAAAGGCACTTGACCGATTTATGGCATTAAAGTTCTGTGACGAGTTGATAAGTTTGCCGCGATCTGCATGCATTTGCATGGCATGCCATGAGCCATGAGCCATGTGCCATATGCCATTTGCCATGTCCTTGGAGTAATTTGCCTCGCGTTAGAGTGAAAAGGGGAATGAAATTAGCGCAGCTGCGCAACTTCATCATCGTCTTGGTCTTAGTCTTAGTCTTGCCTTCTTCTTGCCCACAAGCTGCTTTCAACACACGATACTTTTCAACGCGAGACAGTGGCTTAAAAATCACACATTCATAGAAGTCCTCGATTGCAATCACTTGCAATATTATTTCACACTTTTTGTTGATTATTTGTGGTTATCAAATAATATTCAAACGCACCAATTTTGTAAAGGAAAAATTAACAGCTAAGATGTTTTAGTAATCTATTATTTCCAAGGTGTGTTGGCAAATATGAAGTGTGCATAAATAAATTTGGGCGAACAACAAACTATTCATTCCTGTGTTTCTAGGTAAAAAGTTGTTAGCATTTTGTTAGCATGTGTTTTCCCTTCCTGAAATTCAATATGCTAAGCTGGAAAGTAAACACTTTTTCAAATGGGAAATGCATTCATACTCAATCAAAAGCAGATAAACGCACGGTTCTGTATTCAACAAATTAAGAGATGGAATGGTATGCTTTCAACAGCGGATTATTCGTTGCTATTTGATTTTGGCAACCATGTGCGCTAACAGTTCCCACTGTCCGGTCCGACGTCGTGTTGCATGCTGGCAGCCCATTAGTTAGCTGCTATAATAGCTGCCCTGTAACTGTTCCTGTTTCCCATGCTAAGCACCATCTGGCCCATCTGGCCCATTGTGTGCTAAGCAGCTTTGCACTGTCGCGAGTAGAAGGAGCTTACACTGCAGTAATTTAAATGTTATTTTACCGCACAATTAAAATAGTATTAAGACGACTCAGCCTTCGCCCCATCCCTCCTTGCCGCACTTCATCCTTTTGCTGCACTTGCTGAAATGCGAGCTGCATGTAAGCGATGTAATTTGATTTTTTTTTTTCTGTTCTTTTCCTCTTTACTTTTTCAGTTTTTATACGCTCCGCATTTTCTTGAATTTCAGCATGTTTGTCTACTTTCTTTTTTTGTCATCCCTTTGTTTTATACTCTATCTACAAATAGGCCAAAAGGCATTTCAGATTTTTAAATGTTCAAATTTAACAGAAATTCAAGTCTCATTCCACCAAGAGGTGTGTCAATTTTAGCTTGAAAAGTATTTTGACTCTGCTCTTAAATTTAAAAACTGGATGAGCATAACTTATTTGTACTCCTCAGAAAACTGTTACAATAACTACTGTGCTCTTAAATTTAAAAACTGGAAGAGCATAACTACTTATTTGTATTCCTCAGAAAACTGTTACAATAACTATTCAAAGATTCATTCATAGGCATTTGATTTCGTTACATATTTAAAGTTTTCCAACACGACGCTTCCAACTAAGAAGTCGTTAGCCAACTGGGTGAACTGGGTGAAGGGAAACCAACGTTGAACTCAAATTCGCGGCAAGCCAAGGCACTTCAGAGCAATCCCGGTCGGTTGGCCAACTTAAAGTGTGCATGAAATTGTTGACGTTTTTCTGCATTTGCCACTGCCCCAGGGAAGGATCCGCCGCCTAGCCTGCTGGTGGCAGATAAGAAGCCGCTGCTTAAGTGATTCTTTTTCTACTTAATTTCTTGCATTTGCAGCGGTTTTTAAGCAACGTTTGCTTTTCTTTATTACCATGAGCATTTTCATGTGCTTCGACCATGGCGGAGAGTATTGTAGTCTTGGAAATGAATTTTCTTATTTATCACAATTTAATGCGCACATAATTTAAGTTCTCTGCTTTTTTAAGCAGTTGTTGTAAGCACTTGGGGCAAAGTTTTCGCATGAATTTAGAAGAGCTCTTGGGAAGTTCAAACTTTCTACAAAATTTAAATGCCTCGAACTTCTGCTTGTACTCATAGTCATACCCGTAATAGTCTCAGCAGGCGATGTGAGGCTGGGAGTGAGCTTTTTAAAAAATACTTACATTAAATTTGAACTGAAAAGTCCCTGCCACAGTCGCAGATTATGCGACAAAATTGATAGTTCTCTTTAAGGTAAACAACTAACGCAGTTTCAACAGACACTCTATTCGACTGCTGGGTCTGTTTTCGCTATAAAAGGTCAACTGTGGGAAAGCGAAAACAAGGCAAGAAGGGTTTGGCTCGAGCGACTCTTGCTTTCGGGCTTATTTGTTTGTTTGTTTCATTCGTTTCGTTTGTTTTCCAAATTTTCGAACGCCCGTTAAAAGATGGACAACAATAGCACCAACGAGCTCCAGCTCCAGCGCCACCGCCAACAAGGCTAAAAGCCAAAGGGTAAACATGTCAAAATTTGTGGCAAAAGAGAAGCACACACACACACACACAGAAAATTGGCGAACTGGAGGAAGTAGAACATTTGGCCTGCGGGGGAGGGGACTGTGCTGTTTGGACAGTTGTCTATTTGGTTGGTTGGTTGCTAGCTTGTATTTTCATTTTCGTTTACGTTTTTCTGATGTTCATGTTGGGCTTGCTGTTGTTTCGGTTTAATTGATGCCTTGAAGAGGGTATCGGCAGTGTAAGCTAATTGATATAAATACAACATAGGTAGAAAGGGCTTCGGGGCTGTTATGCTAGGCAGTCCCCTGCGTGTCTATCTGTCTTCGTTCTGGGACAGATGTCTGCGACAGGTGTCTTAACAGCCAGCTAGCTGATTTCGTTATAAGCTAATTAATAAAACAATTCTAACATGTACTTCAAGCTGCTCAATCCAAGAAAATAAAATAACAGACACACAGAGCAGAGCTATGTGCACTTTTCTCTAACTGGGAAATAGCTGTAGCTGAAATAGCCCGTCTGAGTTATAGCAAGAAATCGATTTTAAAATATTTGAGCTAACTAAGCTATTCAAATTTTTCTTCAATTATCTTCGCTGCACTTAGTGCCTATTTATTTATGTTTCTTAAACGCTAGGAATGAAATAACGAGAAATTTATAACCATAGAATCGACATAGAATCAAGAATATAGATATGCACTATATAGTTATAGTTAGGTACCAACTTGCTTTGTAATTCACAATTATAACAATCATTAGACTAATTCAAAGGATCTTAAGTGGCGCAAGCTCTCAAACAACACTCAATGACTAATTAAATAAGAGCTCTGTAAATAAATAAACCACCAAACTACACATAATTTATACTATACTTTTGTATAAAATAACCATGTTTTTTTTTTAAATAAAACAAAAAGAGTTATTATATTTTCTGATATCAAATTATCCATAAAATTTCTCTCACCGAGTTGGCCGTTTTCTATTGTTATAATGAGTTATAAATGTTATGTGTTGTTTTCTATAATTTGTATTTAATTTTTGAAGGACAACTAAACCTGAGTGTCTGATTTCCATATTTCTCAGCGACGCTTTTATTTATTAAGCAATATAGTCTTGTAGGTCATGGAATTTGCGTCGGCACGTTGATGATGGCATTGATTTGCAAAAAATTAAATAGAGCAATGGGGGTGGTGGATATATAACCAGCCCCCACTACTTCAGCACACTGTTTGAACTGATTAAATCAGAGACGAATTATGCCAAACATCAACAGCCAAAGTGTCGCCTGCTGTGCGCTTTGAACCCGACGGGCGTTAATTCTGGCCCCATCTACAAGTATTGCCAGCCTTTCTATGCATTTGACCTTTTGTACGCAGGTGTCGCTTGTTGGCTCGTCCATTGGCAAAGGAAACAACCATATAACGTGGCGCCAGCCAAAAACTATAAACTAAATGCAAAGGTGCGGCACAAATCGAAGCTACGAAGCACGAAACAAATGGCTGGCTTGCCTTCCGGCTCGTACGAGTGATGAGCTAAAAAATCGAAACCTAAAAAACTTGAAATTTGCACAAATACATAAGCAATTTCAGCAATACAGTGAAACCTCTCCTGCATATATAACACACAGCGGTTTCATTTATACCATTACCTACAGGATACGTTTCGATGCAACCGTTGCCTTCAGAATTGGCTATATATTTGGTTAAATTCTCAAACATATATTTTTTTTTAATTACCCGAGCTATGATTTTCGTGCAATTATTACAATCGTAGGACAAATACACTTTCCTCATTTATTTTTTGAACAATTATGGCTCCACTTTCAATTGCAATTTAGTAAGCAATCTTGCGAGTCGCAGATTTTCCCTCATTTGGGGACCGTGTGGTATGTAAATTAAAAATTCCAAAAATATTCAATTACGATTAACATAAAATTAATTTATTTCCGCAAATGCCCTTTCAAATGCGAAACAATTTCGAAAACCTAAAAACTAACGTTATTAAGGAATGTTTTCTGTGGATAATTTTTACTCGGCGTAAAGATTATATTCCCTTCCCTTCTATCATCTACAAAATGGGGCGTC